TCCTGGCACCACACAGCCTTGTGCTAGGTCCTCAAAGGCCCCGTCTGTAAGGAGAGTCAGTATCAGGCTGGGCAGGCTGCCCTCAGTGCCCCCAGCATTCCTAGCAGTTGGCAGCATTCCCTTGAGGAGGTCTGTCCTGTACCAGTGGTGAGCAAGGACACAGGCCATCCACAGCCCTACTGGGATATGGTTCTACCCCTGCTTGGAAGATGTCTAGATGAGATTCTCTTTATAACAATTGTTGTCAACAGGCAGGAACCTACACTTTGGGCTTGCAGTAGGCAAAAAGTCATTGCAAGTTGTGACAATCTGCAATATGAATGGCTTAATAGACCCTTAACTAGGATCTACTTGAAATTTGGATGTGGGAGGAAGAAAGAGCGAGGGGAAGGTCGGGGCCACATAGTGCTGTCTGGAGCCCTTGACACACCAAGAAGCAGGATGAGGTATCTCCTGGAGTGTGTGGGGACAGTGATAAAAACGACAGCAGCTGGGGCTGGGATGTGTCAGAGCGACAACTTTCAAAGCATGCACAAGGCACTGGGTTCCATCCCTACCCTGCAGAACAGAAATAACAAAATGACAGCAACTATACTCATTTGGAGATTTTTGTCAAAAGGGGGGAAATGGGTTTGGCTCGATGGTTCAGTATTTTAAAGCACTGTTTGTTCAGAAGATGGATGCTGGATGCCCCCACATGGACCTTCACAACTCCAGTTCCAAGAAATCTGGTTCCCTCTTCGGACCTCCCTGGCCAGACCACACAGGTAAAACACACAAAATAAAAGCCCAAATTCTTTAAGAAAAAAAAAACTTTAAAAATATAAACTAAGTAAAACAAGGAAGCTGACTTTTGTTTTGTTTCTGAAAGTGTTTCACTCTGTAGCCCAAACTGCCCTGAAACTTCCAACATCCTTCCAGCCTTGGCCTCCCAAACGCTAGGTTATAGGCATGAGCCTCCACACTCTGATGGCTAGCGTCCATTTATCAGCCTCTCTGTGCCAGGCTCTACTGTGGTCTGGGAGGTCTATTGGAATCGGGCAGAAGCTAGGGCTGCTTTGGCGGGAAGAGGATGCCAGCCCGTTCCTCTGGTTCAGGAAGTGGACCAGGAAGCCTATGCTCTGCAACCTTCCCCGGGAAATGGGTTTTTGGTCGCCAAAGGGCTTCCAGGACTGTTGGTTGAGGCCAGGGTATTGGAGGCACCCAATCACGGGTAGGGAATTAGGGGTAAAGGAGCCCATGGACCGGTAGGATGCGGGTAGTAGGTGATTAACCTGCAAATCCCAGAGGATCTGCGCTGTGCAAGGCGACCCCAGCATATTCACTGGCTGGACTGAACTCCATCAAAGCAAGGAAGCGAGGGGGCGCGGCCGGTGGGCGCCGCCCGCGCGGGACCGGAGAACCGGAGGCGACCCCAAGGTGGGAGGCAACGCGACTCACCCCGGCTACCAAGTCGCTCCACCGCAAAGACGCGGCGCCGGCTCAGCATGGTGCGTTCCGGCTAGGCGTAGTAACCGCTGCAGCACACAAGCGATCCCCGGGCGTCCCCGAGTCCCTAGTTGCGCCGAAGCAGCTCAGCCCGCCGTTCCCCGCCCATTTGGGCGAGGCCCCGGGACACTCCCCGAAGGGGGCGGGCCGGGGCAGGCTTGGGCGGGGCGCGGCGCGCAGGTGGAGGGCGCTGACCCCGGCAGCTTCTGTCCCAGGACTCCCTACACTGAACGCAAGAGGGCTGGCTGCACGGGGTCACCCCCCCCCTCCCCCGCGCCCCCGCTGCTCCTGCCTACTGCGTTCCTGCTGCAGCTGGGAACCTGCTAGTGCAGGAGTAGCACTGCACAACAGTCCGGAAGGAAATGAAACCCCACAGCGCTGGCGGAGGGAAGAAGGCAGACTAGGACTGCATCCGGCCTCCCAGCTGTGTGACTTGAGGGCAGGTCCCTCAGCTTGTCAGAAAGGGGGAAGGGTTCTGCGCCTTGGGAAAATCTACAGAGCAGAGACGCTCTGTATCCTGAGCAACTTATGAGCCCCCTATCCAGCCCAAGCTTCTGTCTTATCCGGGAACTGCCACAAAGTTGCAAGGATGTGGCGGCTGGGTCTGCAGGGAGTGGGCAAGAGGTGAGCCAGCAGCCTGGAGCTGCCTGGAGGCTGAGCAGAAGTTTAAATGTTTCCCTGACCCTAGCAGCCATCACCCTTGACCGGGTCCCATTCCACCCCAACCCCATTCTAAAAGGAGCCCAGGCGGCAGTTGATGGTCAACCACCAGGTGACCAGATGATGCTGGGGGCTTGTGGGGAAACACCGCCTTTCTCAGAAACCAAAAACGAAACTGGAAAATCTCAGCTGGCTTCAAATCCCCTAGAGGCAGATAAGGATGCTGGGGAGGAGGGAGGAGATATTAGAGCCAGAGCCCAGGGAAGTGTGCAGGCCCCTCTCCATCTGTCTTCCTAGACTGCATACTCAAATGCTCTCCACTGGTTCCTTCATCAGAGAGCCACCAACAATCGAAGTTCAGTACTATAAAGTCAGGAAACTGAGGCACCCACCATTCAAGATGAGGGCCCGAGTTGCAGTTCTCTGCCATCTTCAGACTTTGATGTTTAGGTCAAGCCCTTTTCCTGCAGCATGAGTTCCCAGGGCTTCTGGTTGCCCCACCCCAACCCCCCATCCCTGTCCTTTAAATATATTGTAGGAAACTGGATGCTGGGCCAGGCAGTCCTGCTTTCTCCAGGTCCAAGAAGAGTTTGCCAAGCCAGGTGGCTTTCTCCTCCAAGGTGAAACTGTGGGGAAGTAAAGAGGGGGAGACCCTTGGTCTGATCTTGCCCTGAATTTGGAAAATGTGAGGCCCGATTCCAAGCAGTCTCCGTGGTGACCAGGACAGGAATGCATCTAGAAACAGGAAGCCAAGCCAGCAGGAATGCGGCGGCTCAGCACAAAGAACCCACACACACCCCACTAAGTACACTCCCCAACAGATACTCCCCTCCCAGATAGGGCCCCACCCCCTTGTGCAAGACTGGGCCAGGTCTGAGCGGCCACAGCCTTCAGGGAAACTGGGTCTGATGTGGTGGACTAGACTTCTGCACCTAGCATCCTGTCAAACTCAGAACCCTGCCAGTTCTTCACTACCCAAAGTGTTGTACATCCGTGTGTACACCTGCCACGATCTTCTCTGCCACCCCCACCTGGAAAATCATGTCCCTCGGAGGGAATCGCAAGAAGCATCACCACTCAACTGCTTTTGGCAGCATGAGCATGGTCCTTCTGCCTCTGGTGGGGAAACCCCGATTTCAGGAAGCGGACTTCCTGAAAACTCAGCCCTAAGCTTCACATGGGACAAGTGAAGCCAAGGACCCAAAGACAAGTTCTGGTTTGGTTCCTTTCCTGGCCCCCTCCCCTTCCCACATTCAGACAGCAGGTGACAGTGATACTTGTCTCTGAGCCGTGAGACCGCAGTTCAAACATCCTTAGCACATCCAGGATGCTCTGGCCCAGCAGCTCTCAACCTGCGGGTCGCAACCCCTCTGCGGGTCACATGATCTTTTCACAGGGGTTGCATAGCAGATATCCTGCATATCGGATATTTTCATTATGATTCATAACAGTAGCAGAATTACAACAAATCGTTTTATGCTGGGGAGGGTCAGCACAACATGAGGAACTGTATTAAAGGGTCACAGCATTAGGAAGGTTGGGAACCACTGATCTAGAGTCTTAACCATTATTATCCTAATGTGTGACTTTGAACTGTGATTGCTCTCCCAGCTTTGTTTGAAGAGAGGCTCATTAGATGTTTGGCCCTCTCCTAACGAATCTGTCATTTGTTGAACGTATTCTCTAAAATACAGAAAGAAATATGGAGTACAGTTGTGCCAAAGGGGTGTGTGGGTCAGAGAGGATGGAAACTCGCCGCTAGCTGGCTTAGGGTGAGGATGAGCGAAGGGGTGAACACCAAAGCCTGCCCCCGGTCCTCCTTCATGTCTTGTGGCACATTTTAGCCCACACTGGTTTGTTGTAGGTGGAGATATAACCACATCTGTAACCCAACTCAGCCTTCCCAACCTGTCACTTGACTCGTTTAACATTTTCCAAGTGTCCCCAAAGCCTCAGGGTGAAGTTCATACCACACCTGGTATTGAGACTCTCCTGATCTTAGGACAGATTCCCCCAGCAGCCACTGCTCTCAGCTGAGCATCCTGTTGGCAGTCACCCATCTCTCAACATATGTATCAGTCCCTTTTCAGATGGCCACGGCTTTGAATACACAGCAGCTCCTTGTGTGTTCTGAGACGACCTTATCAGTTACTGTACTTTATGATAACAGCCCATGATTGCTGTTTCAACATTGTCTCCAGTGAAGTCAAAAAGCGTTTAGTCCTCCGCCTGCCCACCGAGCCAAAGCCCAAATTCTAATTCTGTGAGCAGTTTCCTTGCTGAGGAATCATTGAACACTAGATGGCGCCAAAGAGGCTACACCTTTTTAACAAGCGGCTGAGCAGGACAGACTCCCACTCAGCCAGACAATCTTGATCTTTTCTATAAAAATACAGGCTCATCCTCAGGCAGCCATCCAGGCAAAAGGTGAGATGATTATATCAAGGTATAAATTATATACACAGGTGTCTAAGAAGACAACACTGTTTCTGACAAAATTCCTTTCCCAAAGAGACAGATAGCAAAGACCTCCGTCAAGACCCCACCCTCCATAGCCAGCTTTGATCCCCTTTTTAAAAAAAGCTTTAGATGCCTCCCCTCCCCAGGCTGACAGCGGGCATGGCTGAAACACACAGCAATACCTGAAGAGGTTTTGAAATGTCCTCTGAGATTAAAACTAAGAGTGCCTGGTAGATCAGATCAAAAATTAAGGACCACTGCTCCCTACCGCCTCTCTGTTCAACTGCACCATACACAGTGAAGGATGCTGCGATCCAGCTACACCTGGAGAGCCAGCAGAAGAGGTGCAGGTGTGAGCAGACCAGCCTGGTCCAAAGACCCAGCTCTTGGTGTGTTGTGGGTAGTACCTTGGAATGAGTACTCTGTTGGATTGTCTCAGGCCACAGCCCTTCCTGAGCAAGGCCACCCGGGAGCCCGGGTTCAAGGTTATCCTTGGTCGATGAATCACTGTTCCCAATGGAGCAAGAAGCCTAAAAGATCAAGCTCCTCCACCCACCCGCACACCATCACTGGGTCCCCCTTCCTGCCTGTCCTGCTCATCTCCTTACACTGGTAGTCAGTGAGGCCGGTAGCATCTACACTGAGTAACAATCAGGTCCCAGTCTAGCTCTGCCCACAGCTGAATTTGTGGTGTGTTTGACAGTCCTTCCCGGTCCCCTGTGTTTCTCCTAGCTTCAGAGAAGAAACCTACAAAACCTCTTCCCTCCAAAAATAAGCAATCATCTTTGAGAGAGAGAGAGAGAGAGAGAGAGAGAGAGAGAGAGAGGAGTTAAGAAAGCATATACCCCCAACTTAAAGAAGGAACCCACTGAATGAGGTGGGGCACACACTGTAGCTGGATCCGATTCTGCTGGGAGGCAGAGCTATAAGTCTGAGGTATCTGGGATATTGTCTCAAAGGTACAAAAAAGAAAAAAGGAACAGGCCTCTGCAATGGGATGCATAGTGAGTAGGGCTTAAGGAAGGGGAAATAAACGGGTAACCATAAACAAAGACTTTCTTCTCAGGAACAGGGAAAGAAGGAAAAAGGACACTACTTCATTTTATCCACATGTATATCGCGTTCACACGTCAAAATAAACTTTACACCACGAATATCATTAACCTCAGGTCCACCTTGCCCTTCTAGATACTTCTATCTGTGCCCAGTCCTATACACAAACCTGTCCAACCGAATGGCCATTTCAGGCTACAGTGCAGCAACTGGTCTGCAGGAGGCCGGAGAGTGGAACTGTCCTCAGCACTTGCAGCCTGAGACTAGTCCCAGCCCTTGGTTTCAGCCAGCAAGGACAACCTTAAGTTCCTGTAAGGAGCCGTCACCCGCCATCACCCCTCCCTGCTTGCTCTCAGTGTGGTCGGTCCTGTCTGAGCACCTTGAGACTCAGGCCCGAGAGCTCAGAGTGCCAGGCACTGAGTAGCGCTGGCGGGCGTGCTTCTCACAGTACAGCTCATCGCCCACCCAGAAGTGACCGCGCATCTTCAGGTTCAGCCCACAGTCCGCACAAGTGTAGCAGCCAGGGTGTCGGTACCTTCCCTCCTGGATGCGCACGGCCTGGTTCCTGCAGAAAGAGAAAGCCATTAGAACAGGGGCACAGAACAGAGGCGGGATAGTTAGGAGGACCTGGCATGAAGTCAGCATTCCCAGGAAACCTGTTCCCCAGCCAGTCAGAACCTCAGACACAAATACCTCAGGCACTTGACTCCCAAGCCTCCCTCAGGAATTTCACTTTACCCCCTAATCAAGAACGACAAAAAAAAAAAAAAAAAAAAAAAAGGGCTAGAGTGATGGCTCATCAGGTGGAAACCCTTGCCACAGAAGCCTGGAGACCTGAGTGTCATTCCGTAAGCCGTGGTGGAAGGAGAGAACCAACTCCCGAAAACTGTCTTCTGACCTTGACATGTACGCCAGGGTTCCTTCCACATTCATGCAGACATGATCAAATAATGTTTAATTAAAAAGAACATGAGCTAGGATGCTATCCTGTCCTGCAGATGAGAAAGCTCTACCAGGAAAAGTCAAGGAATGGCCCAAAGTAAGTCACCTTGACACAGTTTGGGCATTTATTGCTGGAGGAATACCAGCATTTCTCTTTTTTTTTTCTTTTTCTTTTCTCTGTCTCTCTGTCTCTCTTTCTCTCTCTGTCTATCTGTCTCTGTCTGTCTCTCTTTCTCTCTCTCTGTCTCTGTCTCTCTTTCTCTCTCTGTCTCTCTCTCTCTCTCTTTACCAGAGAGAAGGGCTACATTACAATGCCACCCACTGAGAAATGAACCCAGGGGCAGGGAAGGGAGAACTTCTCCAGAAGGAGGAATGAGCCTCATCCGGGGGCAGATCTCCAGAGGCTTGGGGGGATATGTAGGAAAAACCAAAAGCAGTAACATTCTTCATTTCTTTGGCAAGAGGGGAGAAAGTGAGGGTGGGCAGGAAGCAGCCAAGCATTCATTCTGAGCATGAGGCCATTTGGCCATGGTTCCCTCTATGGTCCCAGACTAACAGCCCAGCTTTGCCTATAAGCCCCATGCTCCCCAAGGCTTGCTCATCACCCAGCCCTCCAAAACTCACGAGATGTTGACATTGCACTTCTCACAGGTGTGGAGCTTGGGTGGGGTGGCCGAGGCCTTGGAGGTGGGCAAGGAGGCCTGGGGACTCAATGAGCTGGGCACAAAGGCAGGTGTGCCACCTGGGAAGGGCAGGAGACAGACAGACGCATAAGAGCTGCTTGTCCCACCCGCAGACATATCCGGCTGTACTTAATGGCATTTTATGACGCTCTTCAGATCCTCCCCAGGACACTCACACACTTGTGGCAAAAGGCATACTTTCACATGAATCTATAAAGTACCAGTGGGTATGCAAACAGGTAAAGAAGGAAGGTGAGTGAGGCAGACCCTTGGCAAAAGTTGATGGTGGGTGTGAACCCCTGTCCTTCTAAAACAGCCTGGGAACATCTGTGCCTAGTGTGTGACATAAACAAGAAGGTGTTCTCTGTGAGCCAGTCATGATGATACAGACAGACCGTCCTAGGTCGTAACACCACCACAGTGTCTTTGTACGGCCTTTTCAAAGGGTTTTTATATGCATCATTGCATCTGAGCCAGTGAAAACACCGAGACGAAGCACAGAGCAGAGGCATTGGGCAGCTGTTGTCCAAGCCTCAGCACAGAGTCTGAGGCACCCATGAAGTGATCGTCTGTACTCTTTCCCCACCACCACCACGACTACCATCTCCCTGTGGCCTCTTAGAGTCAGGATTGGTGGGATTTGTCCCAAAACTTTCTTATTTAGCTCTCTATGTTCCAGCAAACAGCGTGTGAGCACTATGTGTTAGAGTCAGAACCAGCTATCAGGAACTGGCCTGGCCATCTGTTCTAAGCTCTAGGCCCTGTCCTGCCAGACTCATCCTCCCCATCCTCCCTGTGGACAAGAGGTGCTCCTATCGGCTACTACAAAGTACATCGTTCCTGATTTCCTAGAGGGCAGTATATAGTCCACTTGGGTATCCACTCCTGTAGGATCTTCCCAGGACCATGGCCCCAATAACTGGAGCTCCTCGGGGGTTGAAGTCAGGTTATGCCTCCACACATCCTCTCCACTGGATAAACAAACACATCAGTGTATTTGCAATGAGTAAACGGGCAGCTGGCAGGAGCCTGCATTGTGCTGCTCACAATGCTATCTTGCCTGGCATGATGGCTTGTGGCAGAGTGTTCTTTGTTCTGGCTCCCAGGGCCCTTGCCTCAGCAGCTTGCTCTGCTCGATGCTCTCCCATGCTGCCAGGCCAAGGCATTTTCTCTGAACCCAAAGCTCTCTGGTTGCTGGCCTCCACATTCCATAGTCCTCCCAGCCAGGCCACTGTCTTAAGGCTGTTGGAATCCCGGATCCTGTTTTAAGGCCAAATCAAATTCCTCTTCTTCCAAGAAGCCTGGAGACCTAGCCTAGAGTCCCTGTTTTTTCACTCCCTTGTCCTGGCTCTAGCTGGTACAACCCACCACCTTCTATCGGTACCTTGTACATCCCAACCAGAAAATAAACTTCTTTAAAGCAACTGGGGCCTGTCATCTGCTCCCTTAATTCCCTACTTCTGCTATGGGACCTTAAACTACTTCCTTAGCCTGTTTGGTCTCGCTCCAGGGAGTCCATGGGGCCTTACTTCATCCCAAAGCAAAGAGGCCTCACCTCTTTCCTCAGCCTCCAAGGCTTCCTGCAAGAGCCGAAAGGAACTGGACTGTCTCGGGGCGGTTCGTCCCTGGCGGTTCTCCTGCAGCATCTTGAACACCTCTGAGTCCTCTTCCAGATCGAAGGTGCTGTGGAAGCGACAGCTAGGAATGAGGACCCTGTGTCAGAGTTTTGGGACACACCCCAGTGCTGAGGAATATGGAAGGATGAAGAGGCGGAGACTCCCATCCCTCTCAGGGAAACCCGTCCCCTCCAGACCCTCCAGAAGCCCACCCAACTCTGCAGGACCTACTGGTACCTGAACCTGGGGCTGGAGGACCGAGGACCTGGGGAATGTGGCAGCACCCTCACTGCTGAGTCGCTTGGGCTGCTGTGGCCGGCCTGAGGGAAGAGAGCAGAGGGGAGGAGTCAGGGCCAACCCCCTGTGCATTACCAGATGCTCCTCCCAAGACCAACGCTAGGGGGCGCCTGGCCTCCAATGACCCGCTGGTGTCAGGTACCCTGTCCCTATCCTCAGAGTGAAGGCCCCAGGGAGAATGGGATCCCGAAAGGGGAGAGAGGTCAGCGTCCAGTTGCAGAGATGCCTGTTACACCTGGGGATCCCACAAGGAGCCGAGCAAGGACAATTAGATGGGGAACTCCACACAGACACCCTTTAGATACATTGTCACACTTAGATCATGCTACCTGTCTGCAGAGATGTGGCCAGCCTCCTATTCCACAGAAGAAACAGAGAAGAAGCAAGCAAGCCTGGAAGCCAATCATTTTGCAACAAGACCACGGAAACATAACTGGGTAAAGGGTTAAGCCCTCCTGGAGCTAGGCTGGGACTGGGCAGGCTCTCAGTGCCCTTCACGCAGCTCTCCTAACAGGGAAGGCTCTATGCGACCTGCTGCCCCCTCCTCCTACCATTTCAGGTCTAGGCCTGCCCTGCCCCTACCGCCACCTCCCAAGCATTGTGAGCAGCTACATATTCTGCAATAATCTTGATCCGTGCATTTGCTTTGGGACATTGAAACCCAGACTTCTATTTCACCTTTCAACCCTGGAAACCTGTTTCCAGCCTGCACCTGAGAGTGCTCTTTCGAGTGTGAACCCTCAATGGGATCTGGAGGAGTATGAGAAGAGGGCATTAGCAGCCAATCAGGCTGGGAAACCTGGGGTAGAGTTCCTGAAGTGTTCTTCCAACTGAAATATATCCCCAGTCTTTTTGGGTTCCTTTGCTACCATACTCTGTGGCACAGAGGCTGGCCCAAGCTTTCTGTGGGTCTGAGGCAGTACTCTATGCCCAGCTCCTAGATGTTTTTGCAGGGCTAAAGAAGGTCTGTGATAATGTTTTCAGGGTCTCAAGAGCAATGCTGTATCTCCAAGCAGGCCAGCATGTGTCCTGCATCGGAGAGAACAGCCTCGGGGAAGAGGGGTGATCCTTCCCGCCTAGGCTCCTTCTGGGGCCAAGTTCTCATTCCTAGCAAGAGGAGAGGTGTGTTTTTCACCTGCAGCTTCCAGAATGCATCCCAGCTCTCGAGCCTCAGCCCAGTCAAGAGTCCATGACAAAATGGGAGTATCACTGCTGGCTGGGTCCCACAGCTCTTCCTGGGCAGCCAAAGCCGTCACTCTTGCCTCACCTGTCTCTCCCAGACAACCGAGGACCCTATGTTCACAGAAGGGATGTTTCCTCTCCAAATTCAACAAGCTACTTCCTCATCATCAGCCCTTCTCGAATACGCCTGTAGTGAACGCACTACAGGGCATGCAGCAATGTTCACGGTAAATACCAGAGGTGGGCTGAGAGCTGAGAGAAGTCTGGGGGAATCTAATCAGACCGAATGTGCTGCCTTCCTCTGGAGTCTCTGAGAAACTAAAATGCGGTGTGACTCAGGAGGGAAGCGTGGACCCCATGACTCCTGCACCTATCAGCACAGCCTGGGGGGTGAGGAGTTCCGGTTTTTGTCCATGAATGCATCCCTAAGGGCCCAGAGGGGTCTTGACAAGCAGCAGCTGGCTTGTCAAGAGAGAAGAATGAGAGGTTCTAAGGGTCAATCTAGCCTGACTCTGAGGACCAGAGAGGAAGAGGGTCCTGCTCTGGGTAACACAGCAGCAAAGGGACCAGCCAGGACCTGCCTACCACCTGACACCCCCAGCGCCTTCTTTTAGCAAACAATCTTGTCAAAACACAAGTTCCTGTTCTGAACCCCCAGTTCCCATTCTGCTGCAGGTCCAGACTGGGGCCTGGGGCTCTGCATTTATAAGAAGTCTCCTGGGAACCTGCATTTTCCCATAGAAATTCCCAGGGGGTGATGCTGGCTCGAGAACCAACTCCTAGACCACCAAGCTATGTTCCCATTTGAGCAAGGTGGGATGCTACAGGGAGATATGCCCTTGAGCACCTGTGGTCTACTGAGCCAACAGCCCCTAAGAAACCAGGGGCAGGAAAGGGGAGCTTCAACCAGCTCTAATCCAAGCTCCTTTCCACCTTGGCTCAGAACCAGCCCTGTCTTGCTGGGACCCGTTTCCCCTTCTCCTAGGATTTCAGGTCACCATCTATCACTCTCTGATCGAAACTCTACCCCCAGTCCCTCTCCACTGTCCAGTCCAGCAAAATTCCTAACGGAGCCTTCCCAGGCCACCCAACCTACTTCTCTCTCTCTCTCTCCCCTTCCAGAATGCCTCCTGCTTTTGTAATTAATCCCACACTGTCCCATACTTAATTGTTTCAAAATTGTTTGGCATGTTTGTCTTATCTCAACAGCCACATCTTAAATTCTTTAAAGATGGCTCTGTGACCACAGCACCCACCCAGCTGGCCCTAGGGTAAGTATGTGGCCTATCACCACAAATCCTGCCCCTTCCTTCTCCAGACTGCCCCCACTCTTTGTCCTCTCCCCCCTACCACCCCCCAAAGGCCCTGCTCTTCGGAATGCAGAACCAACCCAGAAGTAAGATTCCAGCAGCTGGGTCTCGTCCCCTTCACCCAAAAGGCCAGACGTGTCCCCAGCCACTCTGCCCCCAGCGGCTAAGGGCCAGGACTGTTGTCTGTCCTTCTCGCTATTTCACTGCCCCGCCCCTGCCCTGGGGGAGGAGAAATACCACCTGGGGGTTAAGCAGTCAGCAGCAGTGACTGGGATGCTGGGAACAGGATGGGGGAGGGGTCCTGCAAAGGAAGGAGCAGACAGAAATCTGGCCAAGGGCAGCATGAGACAGAACCACAGCCCCTCAGAGGCTCTCTAGGCTGAGTGGAAGGAGATCAAGGAGCTGGGGTGGGAGCTGGGGGCTTATGACGGGGAGGAATGTCTTTCGGAGATGCAGCCAGCACGGAGTGGGACTCATCCCAACGACAGCAGCAAAACTATTTCAGCCACAGCCCAAAAGAAACACACCGAGGACGGAGGGGGCCAATGCGACGGAGGGGGCCAGAGCGACAGGAGCGAGGAATGCGTGGTGACCCCAGCGCTAGCCAGCCTCTCTGGCTCAGGAGTGTAATGTACCGGTCACAGGGGAATGGTCCCACAGGCTGTTCAGGTATTGCCAGCTGCTGTTAGTGCCAGAGGCACCAGGGGCAGCCAGTAGCATGGGAGACATCTTCCCTCAGGAAGCCTCACCTGTCGGCTGGTGGAGTGGCTCGGGTAGGACAAGTGGTGAGTGGCAGCGAGGCCTGAAGAGTGTGTCAGACTCTGAAAACTGAAATTGGAAAGGAGGGGGGATGTTGTGGGTGCAGAACCCACACAGCCCGCCCCAGGAAGGAAGAGGGGGTGTCCAGGGTTCCCTACACATAGCAACTGAGACTCGGATGGGGTCAGGCCTAGACTTGGTGGCACACTTGGCCATGGTACCCAGTCACTGAGCTCACCTACGGCCAATCACATCCTCTCCAGAAGCAGCAAGTGGACTTGTGGGGGGTGGAGTGGAGAAAGGGCTGCCTGGCCTGGGACTGAGGGAGGCTGGGCTCAAACAGGCAGATCTCCAGGAGGACTGGCTGTCATGGTGTGTCCTCAGGGAGCCCTGTGGAGAAGGGCCAAGAGAGAGTTGGCATGACCCTGCTGGCTGCTCCCCCTCAGGGTACTTGGGGGTGCTGTCGCTCATACTCACGGTTGGAAGCACCCAGCTTACCTGGAATCTAGCTGCCAGCACTTCCAAGGAGCCGTCCCCGTTGGTTTGCCCAGGAGAGGCAGGATGGGACCTGAGGGACAAGAGAGGGAGAGACTGTCTATCGCAGGGCCCTAGATATCCGCATCCTCAACACAGTTCCTAGGCCTGGTTCTCGAGACCAGCCAAGTATCCAGGACACTTGGACATTGGACTATTAACTTGGTTATATTCAGAACAAATGACTCCCACCAACCACCACCAGCAACACTCTCAGGTTCAGCACCATAACAGAAAGGACAGTTTCAGCAGAAGGCTTCATAAATCCATTTTTATCAGAGGTTCCTCCCATGACCCACATCCCTGTTTCCATCCATTTCATCTAGTCACCGGACAACGTCTGCTTTTTGAGATCAATTTGGAGGAAGATGGCTAGTTCCATATCAATAACCCTTCATCTTTTAAATTGTGGAGAAATTAAAATCACAGAAGGAAAATGGGTTGTCCCAAGTCCCAAGGCCCATCTTCAGCTGACCCAGAACCTTCTCCCCACCGATAGCCTTGTCCCTACCAGCCGCTCTACTAATGGCCAGAATATCTTTGGGAAGGTCACTGGAATTCCTTTCCCAGACTCCTCGCCCAGCAAAACCAGGGGTGGGACCAGGCTTCTCTTCCCTTCTAGAGGGGCATCTGGAGGACCTAGAGACCGAGGCTACAACAAGGCTCAGCGTCCAATGTGCAACCAACAGCAGCTAGCCAGAGAGCCCCCCCACCCACCCAAGTGGAACTGGCAGGAGCCTAGAGTGGGATGTCCCTGGCGATCCGAAGTGAAGGTGAAAGGAGGACCCACTCATCACTACTACATTTCTGGGCCTCTGGTCCCTTCTGGCAATGCTGGCCAGCAGGAGCCTTGGTTTCCTGGAATCAGGGGTAGTCATACAAGGTCGGGTTGAGGGGAGGGTCTGCCTCAGAACTTCTAAATGCTTCCTGAAGAGAGGAGGGAGGAGGATTGGGGAGGGGAGCTCCTGGCCAAAGAATGAAGACACTCTGAGCCTTGGCTTGCTGGCCAGGCCCACATCCCCAATGGCCAGGTTCCTCCAAGAAGGACCTAATATAATAGCAAGCAATGTTGTCTGCAGATCTTCCCCTGATGGCAGCCTCCTGTGGATTTTGGTCCCATTCCCAGATGCCATGAGGCTCCCTCCACCCTCCTCCTTTAGGTCTCCCTCTTGCAAACACTCAGGGACAGAATGGCATGGCCATTATCGTGGGAGCCTGCCTCTTGAGCATTCCCTACTAGCAGGGCCTATGGGTGAGGAGTAGTGCAGATGCCAGAGAAAGCTGGGCAGTGGGGCAGAGGCAGAAAGAAAAGCAGAAGATGTCCAACTCGTTTCATGGTCTGCCCAGAGGGCCTTTGGACCAAGGAATCTCTCAGCATTCCTGAACTGTGACTCACTGTGATGTTCTATCCTGAGTAGCCACCTGTCCGCCTGCCCCCCCCCAACACTCCTCCCCAGTGCAGGGACCCATGGTCAATGGTACAGCCCAAGTCAGTGATGGGAAGGGACAATAAACTCTTGTGAGTTGTGAGTCCCCAATTCCCATCTCCACCTGAATCTACAAAAAAGCCACCTCTCAGAGACAAGGGTACTGGAGACTCGGCCTAGAGTACACCTTGCCCCAAAGTTTCCTCTCTTCAACCACTTCATACCCACACCCTGTGCCATTCACACTCCTGGGAACCAGTCAAACCCGGGCTTCCAGGTAGCTGGTGCCAGCTTGCCCCACCTCACCTGTGGCTGCATGCCCAGCCTGGCGCCCACCTTCACCAGGTAGTCCCTGGGACACCTTCCTTTTCCATACCATAGGCCCAGAGCTGAGCACTTCCCAGATGCCAAAAGAGGCTTGGAAGACTGGGATGGGGCTCCACTGGGCCTCTAGGCCAGGTTGAGGGCGGCTGCCTGGGATGGCAATGGACAAGGGAGGAGCGGAAAGGTGGCAGGACCAGCCAGTGGAGGTGGAAGGCCTACCGGTCCAGCTGCAGCCGCAGGGGGGAGGCACTCTGTCGGATTTTGCTCTGGGCCTCAGCGTGGAGCATTCTCTCTGTACTCTCTCCGTTGATGGTTACAATGATGTCACCAGGCCGGAGATCGGCCGCCTCGGCCTTGCCCCGCTCTGTTACCTAGAGGGGTGAGGAGCCAGATGCTGGCTGGTGAGTCTTTGGTACTCAGTACCCACCCTGGATAGGGGTACACTTGAGAAGGCTGGAGCCGAAGGGACCTCCTGCTGCTGCCCAGGAAGTGCAGAAGCAGGGTTATGCTTCTATCACCTTTTCCTCTTTCTTTCCCCAGGCTGCAAGCTTGCCAGCTAATTCCTCACAGGCTTGAGTGGCTTCCCTACTCACCCAACACGCACACGCACACACACACGCACACGCAGATCTAAACACAAACTCCTAAGGAATGTGATGGCAGAATGTCAGGAACCAGGCTTGGGAATACTTCTGGACAGAGAATCTTGCCCGTGCAAATCATACCTTGCAGGTGGCTGATTAAATACCACCCTGGCTATGAATGTTCTCCAGTCAGGATCTGGGCCTGAGCCTGGGCAGCAAAGAAACTCCCAGCCTACCAAGAACTTGCAGAGGAGCTTGTCCTATGTAACCACCCCCACATGACCGCCAACAGGTGTGAGTTTCAAGACTGTAGGGCCCAGGGTCTCGACGGCCTTCCCGAAGGAGACCTCACATAGCCATAACAACAGAACAAAACTGTCTCCGACCCCCGCCCCTCCTGCCCCTGCCAACATTGCCCAGAGCAAGCTTCAGGCTCCAGAACAAATTGGAAGAAGGACCCTCATTTTCAGGGGGAAGCTGGCTTCTTATCTCCTAAAGACAGCCCTTACCTTGGTCACGACGATGGGCGTGTGGAAATCTCGGCCTCCGCTGATGCGGAAGCCCCAGGGTGCTGGCCCCACCACATCCACAGTCAGTGCCATGCCTGGGACAGAGAGGAACCGGGAGGTGGGATCTACTCCCACAACACACCCCCAAAAGAAAAGGGAGAAGAAGGTGACAGGTCTCAGAATTACCCAGTAAGGCCTGGGCCTGGGTGATGGGGGTAGAGGAAGTGACTAAGTCCCTCCCTCCCCGGAGAGTTTCACTTCCCCCCACCCTGGGAGGCCTTGACTCTGAGTTCTCCCTTCTAGGGTCTTAGGTCTAACAGATCCCCTAGGAGAGGTAGCAGGCCCACTGGCAGGCTGCCAGGCTTTCTCCTGCAAGTGCGTGGTGGAGAATAGTGGGAAGGAATTAGCAGGTGGTAGGAGTTATCTGCCCCACCCCCATTCGCTACCTCAAGGGCTTGTTTCCTGTCCCCAAAACTAAGAGCACAGCGATACTTCCTACTTGCCCTGTGTACTCTGAGCTTTCCACACAGACAGACAGCAAGCCTTGGGGCCCCACCAGATTGCAATAAGTTAGCCAGGCCTGGGGTTGAAGGGTATCAGACCAAGGACTCCAAAGGGGCAACTTGGCTACCTGCCCAGCCCTGACAAGGGGTTCAGATGAGCAAGAGGAAGCTTGCTACCTCCTCTGGGGGCCTGCTGCCCTCTGAACAGCCTGAGCAAGGAGGCCAGGGCTCATCTGCCAAGGGAGGCACACCCACACTGACCCTGGTATTGGCCAGCAGGGTAAGTTCATGATGTTGCCAGTTTGGCCACAAGCTTCCCATCCACAGCCCCCTCTGCCCCGCAAGGGAGTGTCCTTGTGGATCAGGCCCTCCTAGGATTTCCTGAGCCTCTAGGTCTGGAGCCAGGAGTCAAGCCAGGCAGGAAGCTACAATGCCAGGCTTGGCACCACCCAGCCCAGCACCCATTCTGAGGCTGTCCCTGGGGAGATACGGAGTCAGCAAGTACTGTCCAATATCTCAAGAACATCAAGGCCTATGAGAGGGGGTGATCCAGACCAGCAGTTCCACGGTCTTTTCCTCAGGCAACTGGCTTTCCCTTTTACCCAGGCCCAGCCACCGTGCCTCAGGCTGATCGCTGAAAGTCTGCAAACGCCCTGAGATTCTCAGACCTTTGAGCCGACCAGTGGACCCAGGGCTGCGAATGCTGCTGCGGGAATTGCCTAGCCTAGCGCGTCAGCCTGGCTGTCCCCAGCACCAGTTCTCAAGCCTTCTTCCCACCAAAGGCCAAAGTACCCCGGAGGCTCCGGACTGGAGGACGAGTGTCTGGGTCAAAGGCGAGTCCAAGCCACTCGGTACCCAGGCCGAAAGGAAGCTTTAGGGAAGAGGGGCTTTGGGCCGAGGGTAGGGTCCGACGAGGCGGAGATCCCCGAGGGCGGTGGCCCGTGGAGGGTGCAGGTGGGCGCGCGCTCACCTGGCTGCCGCCCGCCTGTCCCGCTGCTGAGCGGCCAGGACCGCCGGGAAAGGGAAGGAGGGAGGGAAGAACGGAGGGAGTGAGGACGAGGAGCCTCCGCCGTTCCACCGCAGCCGTCTGTCCGACTCTAGGGAGAGCTCGCCCGGGGCTCCGGGACCTGCCTCCGCCCATGTGATCCCGGGGCCGCCCCTGCCGCCGCCCCTGGCCCGGGAAGCCGCCTCCTCTGCGCTGCCGAGCCTGGGCGCCGCCACCTGGCCCGTGTCTTGCTGGGGAGCTGGGAGTGGGCGTGGGGGGGGGGCAGCAGACACTCCCTGAGTCGCCTCTAGAGTGAGACCCTTCCGAGGTGCCTGCATCCTCCGTGCTGTCCCTGAGTACAGGGGAGCGGTTCAAATGACAGACCCTCCCCACCAAGCGCAGACTACGGAGACTTCTTACCACCCCACAATAGGAAAGGGAACCGCGGCATCTAGGGCTCTATCAGGCAACCGCTGATATGATGGACCTGTCTGTGGTCCGCCCGACTCCTCTGCCCTCTACTAGCTCCGATGCTGGAGCAGCTACCGCCCGCCGATACTCACAAACTCCAAACCTGAGCCATCCCTCCACCCTCCTATCTGTTCCCGGGCAGACGCCCCACTGATGGCTTTGTGCTGCCAGCGCAGTGACTTAGCCTCAGATACCCCGCAAGCCAAGCCTGCCCTGAGCAGGAAGGCATGCCCAGACCCAGAGATAGAGAGCGCTTGGCAGGGTCACCAGGCACCTCCCCTCCCAGCTATCCTGCCTGGCATGGGCCAGCTCCAACCACCAAGGACCCTGTCTGCCCCATCCCTTCTACTAGGCTCCGAGGCTCAGCCCAACGGAGTAGTGGGGTGTGTGTGTGAAAGGAGCAGGTGCAGACCCGAGAAGGAGGAGCCATCTGACCAGAGGGTCCCCCAGAGCTGTACCTCGCAACCCTTGCCCTGGGGAGTTCGGGGCCCACGCAGCTGCCTCCTGCGCCTCTTCAGCTGCTCTTACAACTTGGCACACCGAGGAGCACACCTGTGGACACAGCTGTAACCTGCCTGCCTCAGGTGTGAGTCATTCTCTCCGAGTTCCCCGAGAGGATTGCCCTTGCCACCCTCACCATCCTCCTCACCTCCAGAGCGCTGGTGTGGTTCATGGTCCCGGCACTTCCCATTCAGTCAGCTCGCCTCCAGTCACCTCCCTGGCCCCACCTCCCACAACTACGTCTTGGGCAGGTAAATGGCTCTACCACAGACTAATCCAAGGGGCCATTTCTCTGCTGCACCTGCTCTCCCTCCCCAGCTAGCCGGGAAGCCTTTTATGTTTGTTTGTTTTGGTGATGGGGATTGAAGGTGAGGCCCTAGACCTGAATGTAACCTCCCTTCAAGCTCCCCCTGGAAACCTCTGGAGCAGGAGGCTTCCGATAGGGCAAGGTCTGCCTTGGGATCCCAGTGCCTTATCCTTAAGTGCCACAACTGCCTTTAGCTGTGCGCTGTTGGGCCGTGCGCTGTTTAGTTTTTTTTTTTTTTTGTCTACTTGACATAAACTAGACTTATGTAAGAGAGGGAGTCCCAGCTGAGGAGTTGCTTCCCCAGATTGTCCCGTGAGCATGTCTGTGGTGGCGTTTTCTTGATGGCTGATGCAGAAGGGCCCCGTCCTGTGTCAACAGTCCCACACCTGAGCAGGGGTTCCTGACAGGTATAAGTAATGCAGGCTGTGCAAGCCCCAAAGAACAAACCGTTAAGCAGTGTTCGTCTGCTAAGTCTGCTTGGGTTCCTGCCTTGAGGCCCTTTGATGATGTGTTGTGTTGTGGAACTGTGAGCTGAAATAAACCCTTTTCTCCCCAAGTTGCTTTCGGTCATGTTCTAACAAAGCGTTAGACACCCTGACTAAGAAAGTGTTCCATCGCAGCAACAGAGAAAGGAAACCAGGACAGGCAGATTCCACAGCTCTCTGGAGTCCCCATTTCTCCATCTTACCCTGCTACTGTACAGGTGATTTCCCAGAGGAGAAGTTCAAGGATTACGAAGCATAAAAGTTGAAGGACTTGGTAGGGAGAGGAGGCAACAGAAAAGAATTCCCTTCATTTTATCCAAACAATGCTTCGAACAACATTCACTAACAAACCTTTATTGGCCACCCACTGTGCACCAGGTACTGTGCCATACTGACTTCAGGGACCCTCAAGGGTGCCTCAGGCAGGCTCTGTAAACACACACAGGTTCATCTATGGGCCTCCCTACTCTGGGTGAAGTATTCGTGAATCGCACAAGAAGCCAGCTGACCAAAGGCATGACTCTGGCATTCAGAAAGGACCTGTCCTGTTCTAAATGATTCTGGGTACTGGGTGCAAGTCACATCCTTCACCTGTCTGATGGGTGGGTGCAGCCCAACAGCCTCCGGCTCTCTTCGCCAGGCCAAGGTGTTCAAGTGGTGCCTCGTGGCTGGGAGAGAGATTCCCGGGGCCTCATCAAAGAGACTTGGTTTCTGCCCAGGCAAAGTTTCAACCCTGAAATGTTTCATGAAGGCACCAAGGGACATAAAACAAGCCAGGATGAGGGATCAAAAGCAGGCCAGCGGAGCCCTCGAGAGTTGTCATTTCTAGGCTTGCCGATCTGGAACCAGACCAAGATGAGCACTGGGTGCAGTGGCTGAATGGAGGGCATAAGGGCATGCAGGTCTCGTTCTGCAAGCAGCTGTTTAACCACCCTGGCCAGCGTCCAAGCCACACCCAGGCTCAAAGGCCCAGCCACGGCCAGGCCACTGCTCTATGCACCTCGGCTTCACCCGCCCTAACAAAACCAGACATACTACTTCGTGTCAGTCACCAGCTCTACCCACTCGCACCTTAAGTGACAGGCCAAGGGGACAGGAGTGCCAGGAAGATCACATAGAAGCATCCCAACCCTAGGCCACCTCAGAGTCATCCCTAAGAGACTGTCCTCCTCCAGGGGCCTCTGAACAGGGACTGCGGGGCACTTGGTAGATGGGACACGATGAGGTTGAGCCGACTCCACCCTCCAACCAGGACGTGGCCTCTGACTGTCCGAGTGCCTCTCCTGTCTAATAGGTGTAGTGTTCAGGTTGGGTGACATGGGTGTAGCACCTTACTGCCTGCTCAACGGTCAGCGACAGCCTCAGAATGGAGCTTCCCATCAGTGGGCGTGGTGGCTGTGGTGGAGGCTGAAGCAGATTTATCTCCAGTTCCAGGCCAACCTGGGTCATAGTTAGACTCTGAGTCAACAACAAAGAGAATGGAGTTTTCCTTTTCTGGAGGAAAGGCCGGTCCCAGGATGTGCTAATGTCCCCAGAGGCCACCAAGCCCTTGGGTGAGGAGAGTTGCTTTGGCTACCTCTACCCTACCCACTCCCAGCCTCCATAAAGCGAATGCTCAAAAACTTGAGCCCAGAGAAGAAAAACACGAGAGTTTGGTGTGGAAACGGAGCATTAGTGGGGGACATTAGTGTGAAACAGAAATGTCACCAAGTTCAGCAACTGTGTTAGGTAACAGCTCCGGAATCAGGAACACCTATCAATCCCCAGCTCTGAACATTCCCATTGGGCCCTGTCCTGTCCCCACTGACATTAGTTCTCAGCATCTCTGGTCGGATACTTGATCCTCAGATACTGCTCCGTTCTGCTGAGACAGGAGACAATGGTGATTAACTTCCCTCCCACTACAGTTGGCCCACCAGCCTTGGGCCACAACCCATGACAGAAAGAGACCCCACAGTTCTAAATGGGCAGAGTCCTCCCCACCCCATACACCCACCCAAAGGAAAACGATGCAGATGTGTCTCTGGTATCCATGTTTATTTTACATTCTCTTCCCGAGGGGACCTAGATACTGGGGAGGAGCTGGGAATTAGGGCAGCAAGCGTGTCTCCCTGGAAATCTATCTTCTGATAGGTCAGGGCAGTTGTGGGTCTTAGTTGGGGGGCTCAGAGTATAAGTGGAGGCCCTACCCAGGGGGGTCAGTTGCCTCTGGGAAGAGAAAGTCTTGAGGCAAGGCCTCTCTCTCACTGGGCCTTGAAAGCTGACAAGGTATTCCCCACCTTGCTTCCAGGCCCAGCTGGAAGCCAGAAGGTAAAGTGGTGGCGGGCAAGCTGGTAAGAAGTGGGAGGCCTTTGGTCTCCACAGGGTAGGAGGCTGGTCCTTATTAGAGGAACCCCATGGGGGTGAAGCAAGAACCAGTCCCCATTAGGGGAAACGCTGGGGGGTTGGGGGCCTGGGAGTCTGGTCTCAATAAGGCCGGTAGGCAGTCTCCACATCAGAGCAGACGTCTGTATTTGAGGGGTTGTGAGGGGGGTGCTGTCAAAGGAATGCCTGTGATGCGCGGGTGGGAATCAGTCCAGGGGACTTCGAGGGGGCTTGGAGGGAAGATTGCTGGGGTCTCGCTGCAGATGCTGGGAGCACAGGTCCTGGAGGGGAGGATGATGTGGGGGGCCTCTCTCCCTCCCATAGTGCTAATGCTCCCCCACCCCGTCCTCGTTGGCTCCAAATTGCCACAGAGACCACTCACACCGGGGCTACATAATTTCCAGGGAATGTCCCAAATTTCTGAGTTCTCCGGGAGACACCTGAGAAAGGAAAGACAGGTTATGCGGGTTAGGGCACGCCCTCCGCTGACAGGGCCCGGAACTGAAAGTGGAACCATGTTCTCACGGAAAGGACTCGATTTTCCTCTCCTCATTCCTGCCCCCTAGCGGCACAAGCTGAGATAAGCAAAGCTGTACCCGTAAACCAACCAATGAAGACAACTTTGCACATGGCACTAGCTCCACACTTCCTTGAGAAAACCAGGAATCGGCAAGACAAATCACAGACATTCTATGGAGCAGAACCCACTGATCTAGTAAAGCACCTTCATTTCAGAGATGAGCTCTGCTCTGTCTAGGGGCAGAGGTGGGATGGTAAGCCAGACTTCTTGGCTTGCTAAGACCCCGGGAGAGGCAAGCGTCCTGGGGTGATGGAGGGAATGCAATAGTAGGAAGAGGCCTGGGCCTTTCGTTCTCTTTAACTAATCTATACATAAGTGGCCACATGTGGCTACTGAATACTATACCAGACAGCCCAGACCAGAGCATTGTGGCTTCGACTGCAGAAAGGTGTGCTTTCCTTCTTGTCTATACAAGTCTACCAAACTTCACTCGTGGTATAAAAGAAATTCAACAGCAAAAGCGCACGATAAAATGAGGCACAAGGGGGACTAACCTCTGTGGTGTGAGAAGCGTGGCTGGCATTGAGCCATGGAGAATCATATTAGAAGGAGGAGACCATATCATCAAGGGGTCTATTGCTATGACACCTCTGCCCAGGCAGAGCTTCGGTCCTTTGGGCCCCAAAGTCTGCTTGTTGGGAGGCAGGACTTCTAGATTCACGTCTCTCCCTGGCCTCCCCTTTGAAGCCAAGGGAATACAAGGCTTGCCCACTTTGGGGAGTCTAGTGGGTAGGTCACCTGGCACCAGACAAGATCAACATGAGGCTTCAGGTCTTAGTCCTTAAAGTGCAATGTCTTGGGCCAGTAGTGAAGGGCTGGGGTATTAATTATATTGTTTCCCAGGTTGTAGGGAGCGGGCAGGGGCAGGGTACGAGACCCTGGATCCTAGACCTGCTTGAGGAAGCCATGGTATGTGGAGAGCAAGGGTCTGGAAGTCAGGAGTCCTGTCCCAAATGTGACTCTATCACTGAGCATACTGAGACAGTTTTCCCGGGCCAGGACAGAAGGTAGGTGGGGGTGTTGGCTCTGAATCTCAACTGATTGGGCGCCACCACTCAAGTCTTCAGGGAGACCCTAAGGTTACTCTTTCTGGCCTGCCCTCCCCTCCACAGGCTACACACCCACAAACCAGCCATCGTCACATTGCTGCATGACATCCACACGGTCCCCCTCACGAAGTTCCAGCTCATCCTCGTTCTGGGGCCTGTACTGGTACATAGCCCGGTACCTGTGGGAGACGGCAACATGGCAGCCAGAGGCCTGGGGCTCCTTCCCAGACCCGCTGGCAGTTCTACCAAGAGCTGTCACTCCAGGTATCCTCTCCCCATCTCCTAAGCACCCAAAGACGAGCTTTGCTTAGGAGTTTCCTTAACCTATAGGTGAAGGGCCTGGGATCATTACTGTCTGCCAGCAACTCCCACCTGGGGCGAGCATCCTTAGTTGGTACTCACGGAGTCCAGTGTATTTCTGTGGTGCTTGGGGAGGAGGCCCCCAGGTCTACGGGACGGCTGGTGCCTCGAGGATGGGACAGGGTTGGTCCAGGAGTGCTGAGACCCTGGGGGTTCGTGGGAAGAAAGGAGGGCCACAAAGAGGAGGCATGAGGGAGAAGTGATGTAGGAAGGTCTTCTATCTATCTGTTGCTTTCATTGGTTAATTAATAAAGAAAACTGCTTGGCCTGATAGGTCAGAAAATAGGTAGGCAGGGAAGACAGAACAGAATTGTGGGAGGAAGAAAGCAGAGACAGGAAGACGCCATGGCTCTTCTCTCCAGGACGGACAGTGGTTAGACTCATGCTGGTAAGCCACAGTCAAGTGGCGATACAGATTATTAGAAATAGGTTAAATCAATATGTGAGAGTTAGCCAATAAGGGGCTGGAGATAATGGGCCAGGCAGTGGTTTAAATAAATACAGTTTTGGGGCTAGAGAGATGGCTCAGAGGTTAAGAGCATTGCCTGCTCTTCCAAAGGTCCTGAGTTCAATTCCCAGCAACCACATGGTGGCTTACAACCATCTGTAATGAGGTCCGGTGCCCTCTTCTGGCCTTCAGGCATAGACACAGACAGAATATTGTATACATAATAAATAAATAAATATAAAAAAAAATAAATACAGTGTCTGTGTTATTATTTCTGGGGCTAAGCTAGCCACGCGGGAGCTGGGCGGGACGAAATGCAGGCCTGCTTGCCTCATCACTACAGAGACACAGCAGGTCACGAGTCCCACAAAGCCTAATGAGTAGTCTCCATGCCGTTTCATCAAACTCCCAGGCCCAGAAACGTGGGCTCTGACTAGCTCGCTTCAGAAGGACTTGACTGTGGCCCTAGGGCCCCAGGCAGGGTGAGCAGCAGCAAGGTCAAAATGGGTCCAAGGAGGAGCCAGGAGCAGCTGTACCTGCTCAGAGAGGCGTGCTGGGTGAACATGTGGACCCAGGGCCAAGTGCACAATGAAGGGCTGGCTGCCAAGCACCTTTGCTCGGACCTACCCATTAATCTTCTGCAGTGGGAACTCCCTCTAGAAGGAGACTCAAGCCCAGAGAGTATAAGCCACTTGCTTGAGGGCCACACAACAAGCAAATACCAGAGCCCTGATACCTAACCCTACTTGACAAAAAAAATGGAAAAAAAAAATGGCATCTTGGAGGCTCAGGAAGCCTAGCTCGTCATCCTGGTTGGCTGGGGTTCCACATAGTGCTAGATCCTACCCATGCCTCTCTGAGCTGGAGGACCAAATAGCAGAACAACCTCAAGAGGATTAGGGCCAAATCAAGATGGAGACATTCTAGGTTCTGCCCAGCTCCCTGCGTCCTTGTCCGGAGACTGCCCAGGAAGGATTACCAGTGTGGACCAGTGAGAAGATAGGAAGGCGGTGTGAGGAAGCAGGCCACCTTACCTGGGTTTGGGATCTGGGCTCCTGGTGGGTGATGGGGAAGGGGAAGCCAGAGCGGCGAGGGGAGGTCCGACCTCCCCAGTCTGTGGGGTCCACTTGCATTGAAGGGGAGCTGGGGTGACAGGCTAGGCGAGAAGTGGCTGTTAGGTGAGGTGATGTAGGGAGCTGGGGGCTATCATCGCAGAGCCGGAGTCGGGGTTCTCGGTTTATCTGCACGTAGCTGGCCGGGAAGATGCCTTGGCGCCCCGTGCCTGTGATGCGCCCCTCGTACCAATGTTCATTCACCTTGCGGATCAGGCAGATGTGCTCCCCCTGAGGGGTTAGAGAGGAGTTCGTGTCAGCCGGGGTTCCTGGGGTAGCACACACCTGAGGGTAGTTTGCCTGGGTCATCTTCAGGCCTGACACTTTACGTGTTTGAGGGATCAGGCTCAGAAAGGGTGAGCAGGTTGTCTAAGGTCACACAGCTAAAAATGGAGGAGTCAGGAACAAATGGAAGGCTAAGCTCTTCCCGTGGCAGGCAGTGCTGGGCTTTGATCAGGTCTTCCCCTGGCAGGTTCACAACACTATCAATCCCTCCCTCCAGTCGCTGGAGGGACTGTGGCTAATTACACAGGTGCAAACCCAAAGTCAAGTTCAAGCTATGTGGCCTTAGACAGCTGTTCTGCCCTGCTGAGCTTGGTTTCCTCATGGGTTAAGTGGGATAACCAACCATGGTTGTTGCTGTGAGACACAGAATTAAGGGTGGCCTCCAAGCCACTGACAGATCTTAGCATGCCACTACAACTCAGTCCTGTCCCTGACGCGCATGTCCTGTGAGAGGACAGAAGGCATTCTCAGGAGGTTGGAGTAGAACTGCCACCATCTCAGCAGGCCACTTTCAGGACAGTGTCCCCACCCCTCACTGCCCAGCCCCCCAGCCCACCTCCTTCCCTGTCTGTCTTTGGAGTCAGCTTTCCTTGGAGGAATTCACTAGGGGCATCTGTAGGCTTTGCCCCCAATTCAACCAGAGGAAGGCCAGTTCCTCATCTCACAGAAACGTACCACTTTTTTCACTATAACCTAACACAAAACATACACTCTTGTCAGTGACATCCCAGAAGCCACACACACAAATGGATGTGCACATATAAGGGCCTCATGTTTGATACAGTACCCTTTACACGAAAAACTTCTTTCTATCCCTTTAAAAATGTAGATTATGATCCTTATGGTCAACTAACCTGCAGTCAATAAAAACACAATGCTAGGGTCAGACATGTTGGCTCAGACCTGTAACTAGTATTTGGGCAGCTGAGGCAGGAGGACTATAGTGAGTTCCAGGCTATCCTGGTAGGTCAGCCTGGATAACAGAGTGAGACACTGTTCATAACGTTCTTTCAAAACTGGAATAAACAGGCCTATAATCCCAGCTCCTTGGGAGGCCGAGGCAAGAATATCAAAAGTTCAAGGTTTTGGGGTTGGAGACGTGCTCAGTGGTTAAGAATATCTGATGTCCTTGCAGAGGACTGAAATTCCATTCCCAGAACCCACGCAGTGGCTCACAATCATTTGTTACTACTGTTTCATGTGATTTGGTGTTTGCTTCTAGCCCGCAGGGGCACTGCACACATGTGATGTATACATATATACAGGCAAACCACTCATACATATAGGAAAAAAGTTCAAGGTCTGCCTAGGCTAAAGAGTGAGTTCAAGACTAGCCTTGGCTATAAAGTGAGTTCAAGGATAGCCTGAGCTATAGAGTGAGTTCAAGGCCAACCTGGGCTATAAAGTGAGTTCAAGGATAACCTGAGCTATAGAATGAGTTCAGAGCAAATCTGGGCTATAGAGTGAGTTCAAGGATAACCTGAGCTATAGAATGAGTTCAGAGCAAATCTGGGCTATAGAGTGAGTTCAAGGCCAGCCTGGGCAACTTAGCAAGACCTGTCTTAAAATTAAAAGTAAAAATTAAAATTAAAAGTGGTGGCATACTCCTTTAATCCCAGCACTCAGGAGGCAGAGGCAGGCGGATCTCTGTGAGTCCAAGGCCAGCCTAGTCTATAAGAGCTATTTCCAGGACAGGCACCAAAAGCTACAGAGAAACCCTGTCTCGAAAATAAAAAAAAAAAAAAAAAATAAGAGTAATCTATTCAAGAGATTGGGAAAAAACCAAAATTCTCGGTATAGTTGACATTTTAAAAAATGTCCATTTCATTTTAGTCAGGCCATGGTGGCGCACACTTTGCATCTTAGCACTCAAGAGGCAGAGGCAGGCAGATCTCTATAAGTTTGAAGCCAACCTGGTCCAGGACAGCCAGGACTACACAGAAAAACACTGTCTCAAAAAAAAAAATTAATTAATTAACTAATTTAAAAAAAGAAATGTTCGGGCTGGAGAGATGGCTCAGTGGTTAAGAGCATTGCCTGCTCTTCCAAAGGTCCTGAGTTCAATTCCCAGCAACCACATGGTGGCTCACAACCACCTATGATGAGATCTGGTGCCCTCTTCTGGTGTGAGGGCATACACACATACAGAATATTGTATACATAATAAATAAACATTTAAAAAAAAAAAAAGAAATGTTCATCTCTTTCATCATCTTTGTTTCCCCCGCCCCACTCCACCTCGCCCTGCCTGAGCGCACCTTTCGGAAGGACAGCTCCACCTCCAGCTCTCCCTTGAAGTTGTACAGGGCCACGGCGTCTCCGTACTCCAGCACCTGGTATGTGGGTGACTTGATGGGCTTGGGGATCTCATCTGCAGGCAGCACCTGCAGGGAGGATGGGAGAAAAGCTTAGGCCCAATATTAACCAGACACACACCTGCGCTCCTGGAAGATGGACCCTGACAGCCTGGGAGGTGGCAGTGGGAGTACAGGCAGGCTCTGTCTTCCGAGAAGGCTTGCTGGGGGAAGATTTTTCAGTGCAGCGATGTGCAGCGAGACAGGCAGGGCAGGATGGTGAACGCAAAGATAGAAGCCAGTCCAACTACAGCCCTACGCTGGGCCACCCAAGCAAAGAAGGTTTGAAGAAGAACGGCCCCCATGGGCTCATATAGTTGAATGATTTGTCACTAGGGAATGGCACTATTTGAAAAGATTAGAAGGACTAGACAGTGTGGCATTGGAGGAGGAGGAAGTGTGGCACTGAGGATGGCCTTTGAGGTTTCAAAAGTCCAAGCCAGGATATTCTCTCTTTTTCTGTCTCTCTCTGCCTGTGGTTCAGGACGTAGCTTTCTTGTTATTGCTCCAGTACCACATAGACCACCATATTCCCTGCCATGGTGATAATGAACTAAGACTCTAAAACTGCAAGCAAGACCCTGGTGCTCTCTTTCATAAAAGTTGCCTTGGTTACGGTGTCTCTTCACAGCACTGGAACAGTGAGTGACTAAGATACACTGTCTAGGGGTCTTGGTCACGTCTGTTTCCTCTGCCAGTGAAAGAATTAAAAGGCAGGAGAAACCTTGAGTGCAACCAGGAGTGGCGGAGAAATCGCAAGCCCAGGCAGAATTCCCTGATTCAGGGTTGGTCTGCTGGAGGGTGGACTGGCCCACAGTTGTCGCAGAACACAGGCATCCTAATCAAACAAGGACTTTTGGGGCCAGTCCATCAGCAGGGGGACTTCTAGGAAGGACACGGGCTGATAAGGCCTTTGTCTGAAGCTGCCAAGCTTTTGTGTCAAGTCAGGAGGATGAGGAAGAAGCCGGCCATCTTGGAAATTCACCCCAATTATTGCCTAGTCATGGCCCTTCTTCCAGTCTGACTGTCTACTAGGGCATCAGTCTAACTCCTAGACTCTCAAAGTGTTCTGAGCTACAGAGTACCCTGTTCTAAAACTGAAAATGTATTTATTTATTATTATTACTGTTATTATTTGTTTTGTTTTCTCAAGGAAGAGTCTCACTATATAGCTTTAGCTGTTTCTGTTTTGGGGATGGGGTTTGTTTTTTTCAAAAGGTTCCTCTGTATAATAGCTCTAGCTGTTCTGGCACTAACTCTGTGGACCAGGCTGACCTCGAACTCACAGAGATCTGTCTGCCTCTGCCTCCCAAGTGCTGTGATTAAAGGCACACGCCACCATCACTGCCCAGCTCTTCAATGTTCTTTTTTTTTTCGAGACAGGGTTTCTCTGTGGCTTTGGAGCCTGTCCTGGGACTAGCTCTGTAGACCAGGCTGGTCTCGAACTCACAGAGATCCGCCTGCCTCTGCCTCCCGAGTGCTGGGATTAAAGGTCTTCAATGTTCTTGAACTCACTATCTAGACCAGGATGGCCCACAGAGTTCCACCTGCCTCTGCCTCCCAAGTGCTAGGATTAAAGGGATGTGCCAATAAGCCTGGCTCAGTTTGTCCCATCTCTTACTGCTCAGAACCAAGTGGCCCTTGGTTCAAGTCTTAGTCCCTCTTCTCTTCTGGCCCCCACCAGAGCTCTGAATCCCCATGCTATCTTGGTTGATCCTATTCATAAAAATCAATAAGCTAATCGACCATTTCTCACTAAGCTGTAGATGACTGATAGACTATCAGATGACTGTGTAAATTGAGAAATTAATTTTTCTCAGTGAAAACAGAGAGATTAATGTGTGGGTGGGTAGAATCTGTAATGCCTGCTAAAACAAGGGCCTGAATTACAATAGCCTACCCAGGTATCAGAGGAAACGAGAAGACAGTAAGTTAAACAACAACAACAACAACAAATCATCATCATCATCACGATTTGTTCAGGCCTGGTGGCACACATCTTTGATCCCAAGCATTTGAGAAGCAGAGGCAGGCGGATCTCTGTGAGTTCAAGACCAGCCCGGTCTACAGAGTGAGTTCCACACCATCCAGAGCTACACAGTAAGACACTGACTCAAACAAAACCAAACCAAAAAAGTTAGAATTTGTGGGATGCAGTTAAAACAGTGTTTAGGTGGAAATTTATGGTATCAAATACTATTATTAACAATCACCTAGTCTAGCATGAGTCAGGAGAAACATTATGAATTTGAGGCCAGCCTGGGCTACCTAGGGAGTTCAAGGCCAGCCTCAGCTGCTGTGCAAGGCTTGTCAAAGGATAAGAGAAAAAAGAAGAAAGGCTACTCTTTCACTCTGACAAACTGAGCAAGAAAAGTAAAAAGACAAAAGAATAAAGATAAAATTGAAAACAAAAATAATAGAGAAAAACTGATAAAAATCAAAGGTAAGCTGTAGGGTTAAGACAGCCCCTTTGGGGGGCGGGGTTTGCCTCGGACGAATGCCTGCCAATAAATGGGCGCGTGGAGAGGCGGCTCGGCCCTTCCTTCCTACCTCCTGTGCCACGCGGACACTTCGGTTCTGTAAATTTATCATTAAAGTGTGAATATTGTTTAGTATCTGCATTGCATTTATTTACGCCGATACAGTAAGCTATTTGAAAACACTGAGAAAATAAATCTGTAGGCAGAATAAAAGAATATCCAATTACAATACCAAAAATAAAAGGACAATCATTATAGAGATTACTAACAGCAAAGAAAGAACGGGGCCAAGGAGGTGGCTCACTGAGAGCCGAAGCCTGCCTGATGACCTCAGTTTAGATCCTGAGAACCCACGTAAAAGCCAGACACAGAGCCGGGCGGTGGTGGTGCACACCTTTAATCCTAACACTCAGGAGGCAGAGGCAGGCGGATCTCTGTGAGTTCGAGGCCAGCCTGGTCTACAAGAGCTAGGGTTTCCCTGTGGCTTTGGAGCCTATCCTGAAACTCACTCTGTAGGGTTTCTCTGAACAGTCCTACTGTGCTGAAACTCACTCTGTAGCCCAGGCTGGCCTCGAACTCACAGAGATCCACCTGCCTCTGCTTCCCGAGTGCAAGAATAAATATTTTTAAATATTTATTTATTTATTATGTATACAATATTTTGTCTGTGTGTATGCCTGCAGGCCAGAAGAGGGCACCGGACCCCATTACAGATGGTTCTGAGCCACCATGTGGTTGCTGGGAATTGAACTCAGGACCTTTGGAAGAGCAGGCAATGCTCTTAACCTCTGAGCCATCTCTCCAGCCCCGAATAAATATTTTTAAAATATATGGGAATATTATGGACAACTTTATACCAGAGGCTTAGTTTGATATGACTTAAGACACAGATACTAAAAGTAACCTATAGGTCCCAGCCTGCATTTAGAATATGACTCTCTACTTAACACAGAATCTCTGTCTATAAAATGAGGTGATTGTGGCTCCCTGGGCAGTGTGAGGAACGAACAGGTAACACGCCAGAAAGAAGCGACGCATTTACAGGCGAACTGTCACAATTCTGGTTAGTTGTCAACAGGATAGAAATCAGAGAGATCAGGGCTCTGGGAGTTAAAATGCGAGGTACTTATGGGATGGTGGCTTCTGGGCGGGCAAGGGGCTCTTCAGCTTCTCCTGGGCTGGCAGACAGTTTGAGTCCTGGACCAGGTGATGTGTAGGCCACAGACATTCAAGAGAGACAGCCTGGACTCCTCAAAGTTTTGCAAGAAACCTGGGGTCTGGGGTCCAAGCCTCTCCTAACATATGGGTCCTCCCAGCCTGCCCATTCCACCTCTCCCACCCCTCCCACTCACCTCCACATAATTGGCTGGGAAGATGCCTAGCCGGCCATGGTGCTCCCCCTCCAACCAGTTCTTGTCCACTTCTTTGTGGATATAGACAATGTCACCCTTCTGCAGAGTCAGCTCCCTGCAGATGAGAGCCGTGTACAGCACCGAGTTCCTGAGTCTTTCTTCTTCAGACTCTGCCCTGTACACCCCTCCCCCCTCCAGCCTTCTGCCCACTAAAGCCCTTCCTTACCCCCTCACAGTGCAGACTGCCCAGGCTGGAAGAGGAAGGGCTGAGAAGGCCACTTACTTGGGGGACTGGGCCTGGAAGTCAAACTTGAGCCGGGCAGCCTTCCTCTGGGAAAGGGGAGAGGATGGGACAGAGTGGGTTACCTCAGCCAGACAGGGTCCTGCCCAGACACTCCCTGACCCCTGACCCGGGGGGGGGGGGGGGACACTCTCTTACCTTCTTCTCCTCCTTCCTCGCAGGGCTGCTACCCCTTTCAGAGGCACTAGGCTCTGTGGAGAAGCACCACCTCAGCTTGAGGAGGTCATGTCTGGGGGGGATCGGGTTGGGATAGATTATGCTCCCCCCACCCAGGTCAGGCACAGGGGAGCAAGGACTCTGTGACCCTCGTGGCCCCCACCCTCCCTTTTCCTGGGGCACCACAGAGCTTGTAAGAGAACTCCCAGAGCAGGTAGGCCTCCATTCAGCGAGAACAAAAACAGAATTTGTCTTACCTCGGGCTGAGGAAGGGTAGACAAAATCTCTTCGTCCCAGGAAGGGGCTTCCTCCTCCATCTGCCATTCTGTGGGGGCTCAGGGGTCGGGAAGAACCGAAGTAAGGTGCATGCGGGGAGCTGGGCCTCCAGGCTGAGGCCGTGCTGGAGGGACAGAGGCAGTGAGTCACCTGTCTGGAACTTCATATCCCTCAGGGCTAGTCCTCACACATTACTGACCTCCCAGGCTCTCCCGCTACCCCCAACCTGTCCTCTGCCTCCTAAGGCGTCTTCCCAGGTCTGGGACTCTCAACAGGATGTCCTACTTCCCGTGCAGCAGAGGGCCGGGAAGGGTGAGGCCTTGGGTTAGCAGAGGGGGTGACCGCCCAAGGGAACGCGGGAAGTGTCGGGGCTCGGTCCTACTCCCTGCCGCCACCGCCACCACTACTACCGGTGTCCCTGGCTTGGGGCAGGTGACCCTCAAGGAGTGGATAAGTCCCAACAGAGTTGCGGTTGGGATGCCCCTAGGCCACTTTTCCGATTTTCAGGCCCCTCCTCTGAGTTTCGCCCGTCCCCCACCGTGGGCAGGGCCATCGCCCCCTCGCCCGCCGGCCGGCGCCACGTCCCCTCCGTGGGGAACAGACCCTCTGCTCCTGCCTGCGTCTCTGCCACTCACCGGGCCGAGGGCCGCTGCTCTGGGGCGGGCTGCTCAAAGGACCGTCGTGGCGCCTGCGAGTTCTGCACGGGGGACACCGGACGTGATCAGAGCCTGGGACCCCGGGACCAGGGCAGCTGAGGCCAGTGCCGCCACCTCCTCCGGAAAAGTTCGCGGCTTGGGAGGGAAGGAGGCCGGGGAGGGGCGGGACGCAGGGTCCTAGAGGCGGCCGCGAGCCTTCACGCTGGGAGGAGGCACGGAGGAAGGAGGACCGGGTCGGGTCCTGGGGTCCCTGGGGCTGCGGTTAGGGGTGGGGCCAGGCGGGGTGGAATATGGACTGAATCTGAGTTGGCGAAGGGTTCCTAGGGATCACTTAGAAAGTTGACGCCCAGTGTTTTGAAGCTCGGACAAGGCTGAAGTCTGCCCAAGGTCGCCAGTTTCTAGGTTTGCCTGCTTCCCTCTGTCCCCTGCTGCTATGGCTAAAGCCTTTCTCTTGAAGTCCTCTGGAGGCTGGTACCTTGGGGGATGGTAGGCGGGTCTCGATGGCCCGTAGGTCCTTGTCCAGCTCTGCACTCAGCTTGGCCAATTCTCTTTCTAGCAGGACCTGGGAGATAAGATTCTTTTGGGAAGTGCACTGTGTCGGAGGCTGGTCAGAGGTCAGAAGTGAGAGGCTGGTCCCGTCAGGCCTCAGGGAGGAGACCAGGAGAGGTTTCCATGCCTATAGGCTTGCTTCAGGACTAGTGGAAAGGTGTCACGTCATTCCTGTCACTAGTCCCCAACCCAGGACTCCAGGGTGTCAAGAGTGCCTCAGCCTTTCCTGGCCTTTTTAATTTTGAGGAAGCGGGTGTGTGTGTGTGTGTGTGTGTGTGTGTGTGTGTGTGTGTGGTTATGTTTTGTTTAAGAACCTGAGGGTTTGCCAAATTTCTATTGGTTTCTATGGACTTTCCACGGTCTGGTTTCACTACACCCACCCATTCATCATCATACTGCTCATTCCAGTGAGAGCTGAATTTTACTCATGCGTGCGCGCGTGCATACTCGGGTATACACCCCACCACACACACACACACACACACACACACACACACACACACACCAGCCTCTTTTCTAGAGGAGCTGTCTCTCTGCCTGGCCAAACTCAGCTCCAGTTCGCGAGTACCTCCGATAACCCCAGTTCACACTGACTAGTCTCTTCCTGCTCTGATCTCTACGTACATACGTGTTTACTAATCACCTACTGCATGCGGGCACTGTCCTTGGTGCTAAGGCTAGAGATCAAAATGCACGGGACTAGGGCAAGTTAAGAGCCTTAGGGTCCTGGCCTTTGTCTGTGGCTAAGACCACAGCACCCAGAGTCATTCTTGCTTACTGCTGATACTGGCATCCATCCGTCTGTCCTTCATTCCCCCCGGGTAGCACTCACCTCAATGGGCTGTGCAGGTTTCTCAACGGGGTCATCTAACAGTGGTTTCTTGGGCTGCAGGGTGGGAAGGGTACATCTAAGACGATGGCCTCACTTGGAACAGGCTCCAGCGCTGGGGTGTGTCCAGACCTAGAGGACCCTGCTAATACTCTCACCTTATGCCCACTTTCTAGTTCTTGCAGAAACTGGTTCCAGGAGTCTTCTGTCCAGACACTCTCTACTTTCTCTCGGCGTCTGGGCACCTGCATGGATGTGAGTAGCCATCACTAGGGCTGGGCCTACAGTCTAAAGGCAGGCCTTGGCTTCCCCGATCTGCCCACGGGTCCCTTCCTACGTATATGCGCCGAAATGGGGGAATTATCTGCGCTGTGCCAGCAGGTGGGTGTGGCTGGAGAACACGCAGCTGGGGATGGTGCTGGTGAGCAGGACCGTCTACCTGATTTGGGGGTTGGAGTCCCGAAGAGGATGGTCCAAAATTATAGTTAAAGGTGTTTCTAGATGGCTCTTCAGAGTGGTGCCAGTTTCTTCTGAAGAAAGAGAAAATCCCACTTCAGATTCCTCTTAGAAAACTGAAGCGTGGGTGAGAATACAACCAAAGGAGAAGGGGCTGCACCCCTCTCCTCTACCACTGTCCCCATTCCCACAGAAGGAGACCACCCTGCCCCCTTCCTGTGGAATTAGTGTCAGGGATTTCAATCCAGCCTCGTCCCCTAGTATCTATGAGACTTAGTAACTATGGCGAGCTGTATGGCGCCTCGGGCTCAACACTGGTAAAATGGGAGTGGCATGCAGGAATGTGTGTTAGGTGTCCAGCTGCTGGTCTTTGCAAACATCGCTCCATGGGTAGCCAGGACCTCTCTTGTAGCCTTGGGCAAAAGCATCCCGTATTTGTGTTTGGTGCGCTGTGTCCCAGTGCAGCAGGCTTTCAAGTAGCCATAGCCAAGTGGTTTTGTAAACCATTGCTGTGAAATGACCCTTCACTACACTGTGAAGGTGTGTTGCTCTTATTGTTAATAAAAAGCTGAGTAGCCTATGGCAAGGCAGGATTTTCTGGGCAGAGAGAATGCTGGGAAGAAGGGAGGAGTCTCAGGAGTCAAGAGGAGACTTGGAGAGAAGCTAGATGAACTTGCCTCGTTGAAAAGAGGTACCTCACATGGTAGAGCGTAGATAAGAAATATGGGTTACCCTAAAGTGTAAGACTAGTTATTAACAAGCCTGAGCTATCGACCAAGCATTTATAATTAATAAGAAGTCTCTGTGTTATTTGAGACTTCTTATTTGAGAACTGGCTGGTGGGACAGAAAAGTCTGCCTACAAACCATAGCCCAGGGTATAAGACCACACACAACTCCAAGGAGAACTTGTGGGCATCTCTGCCCAGGAGATCTGGCAGGCAAGTTGTTTTGGGTCTCTGGGCCTCAGGTTATGTGGCTTGGATTGAGTGATAAAACCTGTGTGGTCACCTCAGTCATTGAAGTGTCCTGCTGCCTTGGCTCTCCTCTAGGCTTCCTTTCCTGTCTGGCTTTCACACCCCATGTTTTTAGTCTGAAAGTTACCTATGCCTAGAACAACTGAATGGAGCTTATCAAATGATGGCATGTCTGAGCACAGGGTGAGGATTCATCGCCTATAATTATGACTCTGTTCTCATTTCGATAATAAAACGGTGATCATGAGAATGGAATGTGCTGTTTGCGGTAGAAGGAAGCGCTCATCGTTGGGAACCCGTGTGTTCGAATGCTTGCAGACTTGCTATATGCCAACCACACTGCGAGATCAGACCCTGGCTCACTCAGTCCTGATAATCTACCGTCTGTCCCCACTCACAAGATGGGTACAGTGGCAGTGGCCTGACTTGGACCTCAACTCTGGGTCCAATCTGGGTTTCTGTCACTGCCTCACTGATGACAAAGGCCATCAGTGATGGCTATGCTAGTGAACTGAATTGTACCCCGCGAAGGCACACACAGCTAGTGCACTTAACTGCAGAGCAGAGCTCCAGGGGCCCAAACGGAACAGAGTTCCTGCAGCACCTGAGCGCTCAGCCCAGGGCACCTCTCAGTCACAATCTAGTGGAAACCTGGTTCATCCATGTTACCGGTTCTCTCTGGTTTTAAAGTGGAAGGTCACATGTCCAAGCTGCCCTTAACAGCTTCCATGCCCCTGTGTCCTGGACACACACATCACTCACAGTCTCTGGTTCCTGGTGCACAACAGGAGTGGCTCTGTTCCTGGATGTCTTTGGCCCTTGTGAGTGAGAATAGCTACAGAGGTGGAGACCTTCTAAGGCCCTGTAGAACCCAATGGAAGAATAAACCCTTCCCTGTCTGCTCCCAGGCTGTGCCAGCTTTGGCCACAAGGGGACACTAGTCTCTGTTGCTCACCCGCTAGAAGTCACTGATGTGCCAGGCCTGGAGGCAGCAGGTCTTTGCTGGGGTTCTGGATGCCTGGAGTCTGCAGAAGAGGCACGCGAGGAAACCACTGGAATGAAAGGAGACAGACAAGGACTAAGATTTAAGGCGGTGGTACCCACCTCCATCCTAACACCTGGATTATGGCTCACAGGAACAGAGAGAGGCTCCTGGCTAGTCCATGGGCTTTGTACCAAGAGCTTTGGGGCAGGTGGGATCCCCAGATTCTCATAATTCAGAAGAATCGCATAAGATAATCATGTAAGAAAAGATGCCCAGTGAAGTCTGGTCAGCAGATGGCAAACAAGGGCTTTCTGGGCAGCCAAGGACGTCTTAGTCACCTCCTGTCAGGGGATTTAGTGTTCCCAGAAGTGGCCTTTAAAATCTTCTTGTGTGGTTGTTATGTAAAGTGTATTAAAAAATTAAAAAAAAAATAAACTTCTTGTGTAGAACCACACCATTTGGGAGGCCCCCAAGCTCAGGCCACACGTCACTAGACACAGACCAGTAAACCTATATCTCTCACCTTTGGGTGGGTCTTCCAAGGTCCAGTCAAACTGTAGATCTGGAGAACAGAACGGATTGGGTCAGCAATAGGACTCAGAGTGAGGACAGGGCGCTCCCGCAGCCTGCCTAGCTGCTCCCAGCCTCCCTTCTGCCTAGAGCAGGGGCTGAGGGCTGAGTCAGGGCCTGAAGAATGTCCCGAGGGAGGTAAGGAATTAGGAGGGCAGCCGTTGGGAGGGCTTGAAATGCCTGCCTCTGGCAGACTTTGGGCCTGGGAGAGCCAACTGGGCAACAGCCACACCCTCTAATCCCTCCTGATTTATTCCCCCACACACCCTCTCCTGACCTCTGTAGGCTTGTCCAGGCCATGCCAGCTGTGGAAGCTGGGCTTCCTCTTTGTTTCCCTTCCCCACCTGCACCTCCTTCTCAAATACCTCACTTCTCACTGCGCCCTGAACCACACCTCCCAGTGTGCAGGACTTTCAGGGGTTGGGGTGAGGGAGGCGTCTAGAGGTTCTAAAACCCAAATACTTTGTTCAGGAGCCTGTCTTGACCTCCCTCTGCTGCTGGGTTGTCTGCTTTTCCTCAAGAAACCGTACTACCACATCTCCGGTCCACATTCCTCTTTCCCAGAAGACCTGTTGCTCACCGTTGCTGCATCAACCACTCTGACCAAGGGCTCCAGACCTCCACGGCACTCAGCCTTATGGTCAGCTCCAAAGTGATCTAACTAACTCGACTCGGTGGCAGCATCTGCCACAGCTTTTCCCTCTGAAACTCCGCTCTCTCATCTGGCTGCAGGGAGACTATTTGTCTCTCCTTCTCCATCTCTGGAGGCACCTCCAAGGCTCTGGGCTACTTTCCTCAGAACCCACATGCCTAGGAGGCTCAGTCCTAAGGACTATCTCTCTATGGGATCTTAGCTGGTCCTAAGGCTTTTCAAACACATTCAGCCTTGTTTCCACAGGCTCTACCTCCATGGATCCAACCAGGCCTCTTTGAAAATATAATTACATCTGTGCTGCACATGGCCTTATTTCTTGTCACCATTCCCTAAACAACACAGTACAGTGTGCCCATAGCTACTGATGCAGCATTTACTTGGGATTAAGTATAAGTAACCTAGAGGCAATTTGAGGTCTATGAAAGGATATATATGCAAGTAGATGCAAATATGAATACTTATATCTACATTTTCTTGGTTTTTAAATTTTATTTTATATTCTATTTATATGTATATCTGTGAATCACATGTGTGTTTGGTACCCCATGGAGGCTAAAGGAGGGTTCTAGAAATTAAACCTGGGTCGTCTAGAGGAGCAGCCACTTAACTGCTGAACTATCTCTCTAGCCCCTTCAGGTGTTTTCTTGTTTATTTTGTTTTTTCTTAGAAACATTTCTGTGTGTATGTGTGCACACATGCATGCCACGGCATGTATGTGAGGGGCAGAGGGGCAGGGTCGGTTCTCTCCTCCCACCTGAAGATTGTCAGGCGTGGAAGTCTTTACACACTGACAACCCATTTTTCGTTTTTCTTTGAGATGGGACCTCATACCATAGCCTAGGCTGGCCCAGAATTCATGACAACCTTCCTGGTCCAGCTTCCCTGAGTGAACAGCTATGGAGTCCTAGATCCATACATAGCGTTGGATATGGCACTTTAGACAAAAGACTTGTTCTTGCAGGGGTAGGGGAGTAGGGGAACCAATCTCCTTTGGATACTAAAAGATAAGGACGGCGATATCTATTCCCACAATCCTAATTTATAGTTAAACTATAAATAAGAATGCCTCGGGGACTGGAACTCACCATGTCTTTTTTTTTTTTTGAGTCCCAGGTATTTCCTGCGCAGTTCAGACCCTGTCCTTGAAGTAGCCTACTCCACTAGAGTGTGACACGCCTCAAAAACCAAAAGCCTCTATTGTTTTTTTTTTTTCTTTTCTTTTCTGAGACAAGGACCCATTATGTAGCTCTGGCTGTCCTGGAACTCACTGTGTAGACCAGGCTGTCTTCAAACTCACAGAGATCCTCCTGCCTCTGTCTCCTGAGTGCTGGGACTAATGCCACGTGCTATCACACCAATCTCCAAACCTCTTAAACCTGCTCCCTCTGCAGGCTCCCCTTTCTCTAAAAACACAAAATGGCAGCACCAAAGGCGGACACACTCCTGTGACCGCTGAGGCAGGAAGACCGAGAGCTCTAGGCGAACCTCAGCTATGCGGTGAGCCCGGGGTCTGCCTGGAATACACAAGGCCCTGTGTGAAAAATTAAAAGGAAGCCAAACAGTAGCTTCATCCTTCCATGTGCTCAGGTTTAAATTCACCCTTGAGGATGGTCTTTCCTGCCCAGAATTCCAGGACTATGCCTGAAATTCCCTGGATTCCCCACCCCATCCCACTGCCCCTGCCCTGGTCTGGGTCACTTCTAGGTGTAGACTGGCTCAAAGCAGATTCCATGTTGACCTTTTTCCTCCCGGTCTTGCTAATCAGGGGGACTGGTCCCCTTGTCTGTCAGTGTGGGTGACCCTTCCAGTCCCCATTGTCAGAGCTTGTCACTCTGAGGCTCAGAACTGCCCAGGCTTCCAGGTTTCTTGTCTGGTAAAAGCCAAAGTCCTCTCAGGGGCACCCAAAGCCTCACAAGACCTGACCCTATCACTCTGATGGCGTCTCCTTCGTGAGCCCCCTTTCACTCCAGTGCAGGAATGGGCCAGGTGTGCTTTTCCCTGTGGGTCTTTGGAGCGTCCTCTGCTGGCACTTTCTCTCTACCCTTTCCGGGTTTAGCTCAGGGCCTCTTCCTTGCTGGGGTTACAGGTCGCAACTTCTTTTTAGGGGAGAGGGGTGGATATTCAAGACCACTTACCTTAGAGCTTGGAGAGAGAAGAATCTCATAAGTCAAAACAAAGCAAAACAAAACAAGCCCCTTTCCACCCCTCCCACAACCTCCATGCTGTTGGGAGTCTATTGGGCCCTGGGAGGATGTCTAACCTGGCATTTTCCGGTGAATTTGCTGGAACATTCTCCGATACCAGTCTCTGGGGCTGTCAACACTCTGAGATCAGAAAATTAAAATCAGGCCTCCCTGCTCACCCACGGTCTTCAGGCCTCCCTGCTCACCCATGCTTCCCAAGGAAAAGTCATGAGAGCTTTACTAATGAGACCTTTCTCTGGGTACCTCATAGAGCTGCATACCCCCGTGCATGTGGAGGCCAGAGGCGAGCGCCACCACATTTTTTATATTTCTTTCATTTATTATTGAGGTGGGATGTGCGCATGCCATACTCCTATGTGGAGGCCAGAGGACAACTTACAGGAACAGGGTCTCTCCTGCTGTCACCTGGGTCTGGGGATCAGACTGAGGTCGTCAGGAATGAGGCCCTGATGGCAAGTGCCCTTATCTACTCGAACCATTTCACCAGCTCTCTACCTAATTTATTTATTTATTTATTTATTTTTTTAAAGATTTTTTTATGTGTGTGTTTTACTTGCATCCTCAGAGGTCAAAAGAGAGTGTTGGAGCCTCTGTAACCGAGTTATGGGCAGTTGTGTACCACCGTGTGGGTGCTAGGGATCAAACCCTGGTCCTCCGCAAGAACAAGTAAGTGTTCTTGGCCACTGAGCCATCTCTTCAGTCCTTCAGTCCTTTTATTTTATTTTATTTTTGAGACAATGTTTCACTAGGTAGCCTTCGGCTGGCCTGGAACTCATTACGTAGACTGGGTTGGCCTTGAACTCACAGATCACCGAGATCCTTGTGCCTCTGCCTCCTGAGTGCTAGGATTAAAGGTGTTCATCACTATGACCAGGTGATCCATATCCACTTGTTTTTATGGTTTTTTTTTAATATTTATTTATTATGTGTATAATATTCTGTCTGCATGTATGCCTGCTGGCCAGAAGAGGGCACCAGACCTCATTACAGATGGTTGTGAGCCACCATGTGGTTGCTGGGAATTGAACTCAAGACCTTTGGAAGAGCAAGCAATGCTCTTAACCGCTGAGCCATCTCTCCAGCCCTGGTTTTTTTTTTTTTTTTTTTTTTGAAATAGTCTCTCTCAGTGGCCTGGAACTCATCAAGTACTCTAAAGTGGCTGGCCTCCTGTCTCCACCTTCCCAGCGCATCATGCTGAAATGATAAGCATGTGCTACCATGCCTACCTTTAAAAAAATTGGTTTTAATTTACTTTAATTTTTTTTAAAGATTTATTTATTTATTAAGTATACAGGCCAGAAGAGGGCACCAGATCTCATTACAGGTGGTTGTGAGCCACCATGTGGTTGCTGGGAATTGAACTCAGGACCTTTGGAAGAGCAGGCAGTGCTCTTAACCACTGAGCCATCTCTCCAGCCCAATTTACTTTAATTTTTAAATTTTAATTAAAATGATTTAATTTTAAATTTTAATAACAATAAATAGTATTATAAATAATAAAATATTTAAACTTTTAAATAATTAAATTTTAATGTAATTTCCCTTTTAGTTCCAGGGGCTAGAATTCTGGTCCTCAGGCTTGTATGGCAAGCACTGTACTGGCTGAGCTATCTCCTCAGACTTGTGTCTCTTTTCCCAGCACTTTGACAATGATCATGTTTCCTCACGGGGAAAGAAAAGTAACAGTAGGGGGAGAAGGTATTTCTCCTAATCCGCCGCATCTGGACCTTACAAAGCAGGAAGAATGCGTGACTATGAGGAAATTTGTTTGGCCCCAAGATATGAAGGCAACAGAAGGTCAGGGCCCCAGCAGTCCTGGTGGAATACAAGATCCTTCCCTGCCCACCATGGCATGAGGCAATCTCGCTCAGGGCTCCGCCAGTAAATAGGCAGCCATTCTGTGGGTGCTATGCCAGGCCATTGGGGTACAAAACTAAGAAACATCCCTGCTAGTTTCAGTCCTTATGGCTGTAACTTTCCAGTTTTGAGATCTGCACCATGTAACATCTGACTCAGATACATAAGGTGTGGGCACGGCCTTCATGCCTCAATCCTATTCTACTCATAGAAATAGAACTTGGCGGGGGGAGGGGGGGTCTCTGGGCCCTCGCTATCTGTGACCCCCAGCCCTGGACTCACAGATCGGGGGGCAATGGGCATGCCGCTCTCATCCACGGGCCCGATTCCCTCGTACTTCACCCAGCGCTTGTCCCGCCGCTTGTTGTCCTTGGTCCATGTGGCTGACCAGTTCTGGGCATGCTGGGAGGCAGGTTGCTTGGGGCTTCCAGAGGGCCGGCTCCCAGGGCCTGGCCAGGTCTGATACCATGCTGGGTCTGTGAGAGGTGTACCTAGGCATTAGCTGAAAGGGAGGGGTCCACGCCTGGCCTTGTTTGTCTCGTCTGACATCAATCCCTGTGAGTTCCGTTTCAACCCCTCCTCATCTGGCTGTGTGATGTGGACTCCACAAACCTCCCCATGCCCAGCAGCGCCCTAAGGCTTCTGCTTATTTGCTTCTTTAAAATGAATTTTCAAACTGGGCAGTGGTGGCGCACGCCTTTAATCCCAGCACTCGGGAGGCAGAGGTAGGCAGATCTCTGTGAGTTCGAGGCCAGCCTGGTCTACAAGAGCTAGTTCCAGGACAGGCTCCAAAGCTACAGAGAAACCCTGTCTCGAAAAACTAAAATAAATAAATAAACAAACAAATAAATAAATAAAAATAAAGTGAATTTTCAAAGGATTCTGTTCGGAGCAGTCTGTATGTATCCTCACCCCCATTCTGTTTTCCTGGACGACTGTCGTAAGCGTTTTGCAGAAGGACGGCTGGGAATCATGACATGCAATAAATGCTGAGGACATCCCAGCTAGGGTGCGGCAAGACAAGGAATCTGGACTGCACTAGGGTGGGTAGGGGAAATGGGATTGGACGGACTCAGACCTAAATTCTGACTCCATTCTGCCACCTACTGGTTGTTTAAGTTGAGGCTCGTCCATCGCCTTCACGGTGCCTCAGTTTCCACTTATATAAACGAAGAGCAATTTCAGCAAAGATGTAGTGACTTCGAGTCTGTGTCACTGTACCCAGCACAAAGACCCTCAGAGGGGTCCAAAACCCATTCCCCCAGGCATGCATTCTGCGCTGTGTCCCCAGCTCCGCCCCTCCCTCGCTGAACGTTTCATTTCTAAGTAGTGCAGTCTAATGGTGTAAGTGCTCCAGGGCCAGATGGCCAAGGGTGTGGACCTCAGTGCAATCTCATCTGCTCCTACTCCGGGCATCTCTGAGACGGGATCCCCACTGGGAAGATGCCCATAACGGCCTCGGACCTTGCTTGGCTGTGGATGCATTAGATGAGGGGAGGCTCATGAGGTCTGTCCAGTGCTGCCCCGCTGTAAGTGGTCAACAATCACTTGTTAAACAACTGAGGTCCTTTGCACAGTGTCTGACTCAGGAGAATGAATGCTCAGTAAAGGGTGCCATCTCTCTCAGGGCTGAATCATCCTGAGGAGTCCCCAGGAGCTTAGAGACCTTAGTGCCCAGATGGCAGGCTCTAAAGCTGCATCCTCCACTCTTGAGCCAGCACGTCTCACCCTCCCATCTGAATCACTGGCTCATTTACAGTTCCCTTGACTCCTAAGGCCACGTCCTTCCCTTGTCGAAAGGGAGGGAAGGGCTGTGTCAGTCTGTTCTCTTTTCAAGGTTCCTGTCTCAGGATAAGCGTGATCACATAGAGAACCCTAAGCTGAATTCGCCGTTCCCTTCCATCTGGTATAGGGGATTTGCCCCATAACCCTGCATATAAGGTTCCTAGAGCAGATCTCCCCCAGCGGACCCACCTGGATGCTGGGGACCATCTCTCCGGGGTGGGGAACAGCCATTGCACACAGTCCTGGGCGCAGGGTCATGGAACTGGAAATTAAGGGTGTTGGAGCCACCATTCCGAATCACAGGCACCTGTGGAGAGGGGCCAGGAGCAGCCAGCTCAGGGCCCAGAGGTTCCACTGGAGTGGGAAGGGTTAGCAGCCAGGGCATAGCAACAGTCTGGCCTCCTGGGGGGAAGCCACGAAGCTTTCTTTAGACTCTTCCCTCCTGACCCTTTCTGTCCCCTGCTCTCTCACCTGGCCTGCTAATGTCCCCATCAACTGCTGGCCCACCAGTGTACCCTTTTTTTTTTTTTTTTTTGGCTGTTCACTCACCCTCGTCCCCCGGGAGGATGGGCCTATATGGGCTCGCAGGTGATCAGGAATGAAATCGTCCAGGCTGAGCTCAGCAGGGAGGCCTTGCATGCTTGGGTCAAGGTTGGAGGACTCAGGATGTACCAGCTGCTCCTTCGTGGTGTGTACTCTGCTGGGAAGGAGGAAGGAAGAGAAAGCCTTGCTGAACTGGACTGCCTGGGCCCTCTTGACTCAACCCACGGGTGGGGGAGGAAGGTAGGTTGTGGGAGGGGATTATGACCGGCTGGGTGGGAGCTCAAGGGCCCAGGAAACATGCAGCTTTGGGCACCCGCCTGCAGGCTGCCAGTACGGAGAACTCGCAGAGGCACAATGGACTACTTGTTAGGCCCCGGGCAGGAGCACTGGGTGGGAGTGGGGGAGGGGAAGCTAGGCGAGGAGGAGGATAGGGAGGCTGGCCAGAAGCAGGCCTGCAGCCTGCTGACCACCCCTCTGGGGGCTCTGTGTGCCAAGATAGCCAGCTCCCCTAGAGGGAAAGCCCAGGGGAAGTAGGGCAGTTAGCAAAGAGGACCTGGGCACGCAGGACTTTGTTTCCATTCTTCTGCCACTCTCATGCCCTGGGTAGCATCTGCTTGCTCATAGCCACAAGGGCAGCCAACATCGAGGCCTCCTACCTGCTGACCACAGGAAGCAGCCAGCAGTGCCCTCATCCCTACCAGGGCCAAGGAGAGCATGGGAGCATTGCCAGGCAGGGCGGCCAGTCCTCAGGGGATCAAGGGACTGTGGGCTATCTACTGGTCTCCTGTGCAGATCACGGCTCCAGAACTCTCAGGGCCAGTGGTAGGTGGATGGAAAGCAAAGCCGCAGACGACAACAAGAGAACCTGCTCCCGCCCTGGGAGTGGTGCTGAGTTCTGGAAGCTGCTCTCTTGCACACTGACAAACACTCCAGTACCCGGACCCAGACCCATACCCATCCTCCCTGGCTGACAGCATCGCCTGACAAGGCCTCACTCAAGGGGTCAGCATAAGGGAGCGCAGAGCACCTGGGAGATGGAGGCATACAAAGGGGGACCCAAAAGTGGCTACAAGAGGACAAAGAGGTCATGGTTCAAGGGCACAAAAGAGTTTTGATGCCCAGAGAGGTGTGGGGCAGAATCTGTGCCTCTTCCTCTTCACGGCTAGACAGAGCACTAGTGGAATAAACTTGAACCACTTTTGGACTAGACTTGCATGTGCCTGTGGAGTGTGTAGCGGCTCCCAGCAAGGACCAGACACCTCAGGAGGTGTCCTTTGTGTGGCAGAATATATTTGGTGTTATGAATATGACTTGGGGGTGGGGGTGGGAATGCAGGATGGATCATGTGAGCAGCATGGGAGTTAAGATGAAAAGAAGGTCCCAGGAGTGTGTGTGGCAAGCAGTCATATGAATAGCATAAGAAGTTGTGGGGGACCATGGGGTAAGACGGACAACAGAGGCCTGTGGTTCCTTGCCGTTCATACTCAATTCCAGCTCAGGCATTGGCATGGATTCAAATGAGGTTAGGATACCACCCTCTCTGGTCTGCATTTGTGGGGATTTCTTCTGACATCTGAGCAGCCTTTTGGGGACCCGGCCAACCCCTCCCTGAGTTTGTGGGGAGGGGAGGTTGAGTCTGGAGGAGGTGCAGCCCACCAGCTGGACCCAATTAGAGCACTTACCAAAAGCAAAACATGCAAACACACCCCAGTCCCGGCCGCTGGGCCTTCCTCCCAGGGAAAGTGAGGCAAGGTGGGACTGAGGACCAAAGAGGCCCGGGCAGACTAGTGTAGAGCTACCCCGCTCCCTGCTTGGCTGCTGGCTAGAGGCCAAGTTGCACTAAGCATCAGCAGCTGTACCCATCAGCTGACAGGCCTTCCTTCCCTAATGTTAGTGTCCCCACCCAGCATCCTCTCCAGGGAAGAGGGTTCAACCCCCATCACCACCTGTTTGCAGGAGCTATAGACCCTGGGATACCTCATTCTGCTCCGTTCCCACCCAACTCCACGTAAAAGCACTCCCAAGAGTACACAGGGGCAGGACGGGGCCGGAAGATGGTCCTGGTCTTTCTCCCAGCAGGCCTGCCTGGAGACATTAGGCAGAACTTAAGAAAGACAGACGCCTCCAGGAGAATTGGTGTCCATCTAGCATAGAACAGGTGTCCATACACCTCTGGTGAGCTCCCAGAATTCAGGCAGCCCCTGCACCCGAGCAGCTCTCTCCAAAGAGCTGACAGAATGAAGTACTTCTAAGTTTGGTAAACTCCTTCCCACCTCAGAGTGAGGCCCTGATGGTGGGGGATCTTTGCCCTCTGCTTTTCCAGCTCTGATCAAACTACAGCTCCCCACAGACAGGGTCAGGGTTTTTTCCGAGCACACTTTTCTGGATTGCGGGTAATGGAACTTCATACAACCTCGGAGGTTGGGATCCCGGGGGAGGGGCTCTATGCCTTCGCTCCTGTCTAACCCATGCTGTGTCTTGCCTCTTTCCTGCCCCTTGGCGTTCCAGCACCTACCTTCCCCCGTCGAGCAGGTGGGGGGACTCGGGGCCGCCCAGAAGGGCAGGAGCATCCCAGCCGGCTCCTGCTTGGCGCAGCCGCGCGATCACCCTCGGGGAAAGAGGGCAAGGAGAAGTGCGAGCTGCCAGCGGTCGCGGCCCTCGTGACCCGTCAGGACGCTAGGCCAGGCCGGGCGCTCAACGAGGAAGAGGGAGGCCGAGGGGGGCGAGCTAGGAGGCAGGACCCTGAGAGGAGTGCGGCGGGAGGAGTTTGAAGCTCGGATCTGGACTGTGAGCCCGGGGTTGTGCTGGGGTGGAGTGGAGGGGCTGGCTACTCCCTCCCTCCGCTCCCGCGGGTGCCCTCTGTCCGGCCGCGAGCTACGGGGACGCTGTGGCCCCTTGCCCAAGGGGCCGGGCCCGCCAGGAGGCGGCGCCGGGAGTGGCCACCGAGGGTCCCAGGGGAGCCCGCTGGGTTTCCCAGATGCCTTCCCCGGCCCCCACCGCAAAGCTGGCGTCGGAAGGGGGCGGGCGGGCTGGTGGGGGGCCACTCAGAGTTTCCAGCGACATTTCCAGGGTGTGGGAAGCAAGCTGTTCTGCAGAGCTAGGACAGAGGGCAGGAGTGATAGTGCCAGAGTCCGGGTGGAGCCAGCATTAGATACGCAGCCCTCAGCCTGGGAGAGGCAGGAGACAGGACCGGAGGCAGACAGGCTGGGACTGAGATAAGGGAGTCCCACAGCAGGGTGGCCTTGGAGCGAAGGCAGCGCCCACTTGGGGAGAGAGAGTTTGTGCCTGCCTAAGCGCGCGGCCAGGAGTTTGCAAACAAACGTGCGTGTTCTGGCAAACGTGAGGATGCTCACACACGTGTAAAGTTTAAGGAGGAAATTGTCCTAAGAGAACCAGCGGTTCCCTGGACGGGCAGCAGCACTAAAGAGGACAAGGGTGGGGTCCCTTGGGCGGGGATGAGGTTAGGAGGGTCTTGGTGTTCCCATTCACCGTTTTGTTTTGATCCTGCTTTTCCGCTGTTCCTGCGGTGCTGACGCGGATCCCCTGGACACCACCCACTGGCTGTCCCTTCTCTCTGGCCCTCCCTTCTCCCCTCCTCCTCCAGTCTCTCGGCTGGCAAGCACCGTGGCAAATGTTTGCTGACAATGGAAACCCTGGAGTACTTCTAGCCCGTGACTCACTCCTGGGATACCCAAGTTCCCAACAAACCAACCAGGAAAAATGGTTTCTGATCCACTTCAGCTCGGTGTTGGGTATGGTCAGTGATACCCACTGCAGTTTGATGGGTGCTTGGAGTTTTAGTGCCTGAGTTTTAGTGCTTTTCAAGCACGTCACCTAATACCCTAGCACCCTCGCCTCTTATTAGCTTCACATTTCCCCAATTGTGGGAAAAGAGCTGTTTGTGCTGTCCTCAGACAAGATCCCCTGGGAAACTTAGGCCCAGGAACAGCTCAAGAGATGGACATGCCAGGGCTCCCATGGGTGGTGGCAGGCTCCCACAAATGTAAACCTCCTACCGGGGCTCCACTCCTCAGTAGTGAAGTATTTTAACAAAGGCAGGTATAGCACAGTTCAGGGGGGTTAAATGAGATGCCCTGTGAGGTCTCCTTAGAGAATATACGCCTGTCTTTTTAAGAAGGCTGAAGGGAGAGGGGTGAGGTGGGACCTCAGGAGTGGAGGAGTTCTGGGACCCTCTTTGAGGTCAGGCTGCAGTATGCAGAATTATCCATCCATCCCCGGGAAGCAGCCTCTTCCTCCTGTGGGATTACAAGTCCTACCCATTTCCCTCTTCCACGTTCTCCCACCTGTCAGGATCCCTGGAATTAAGAAGGGCCACATCACTTTCGTTCTCTTCCTTGTTCTCCAAAGACGACGGAGCTGAAGATCTTCCAAGTCCAGGAATCTTGGCCATCCCCCTCAGCAGGAGCGAACTTCTTAGGCTCTAGGGCTCTGACCTGGGCTCCAAGATAAATATTTAATGTAGAGGGTGCCGCTGCGCTGCCAAAGGTTCCAGCTTCCTGTTTCTCACAAGAGAAGGTACAGCTATGGACAAGGAGCTGAGGACGGGCTACCAGTCCCATCTCTATGGGAATGGGGGATCCAGTAAACAAGTCTCAGAGGACGCATGTGGGGAGGAGGGGGGCCACTGGAGAGCTGAGCTTTTGGCTTAGCTGCCTCAGCTCTGCCTGGCCGCTCAGGCCCGGACTGGCTCAGCACCTCTCAGGCTGGAGCCCGCTGTGTTCGCAAGTATTTGGTTGGCCTCACAAAACACAGGATGCAAGATTGCTAGGACCGTGGGTTAGAGAAATCCAAGGAAACTTGAATAATCCCCTTTTCTGTCCATAGTTAGGGAGAATTCCTTCTCTTTTAAGAAGATTAAAGAGGAAAATGTAGCAAGGTTCTGAGATTGTACTAAGAGCCAGGTGTCCGGTTTCCCCGACTCCTCCCGAGCTTCAGCTCAGGGCTGCTGCCTGCCTGACTCACAGCCGGGCAGCTTCCCATGGCACACAGAGCCAGGCAGCATTGTCCCAGAGAGTGCAGCTCTGGTCAGTACGCCATCCTGTCTCCTACATGCCGTCCGCTCTAAAAGGGACCTCCCTCCGCTCTAAAAGGGACCTCCCTCCCTATTAGTCAGTCGCCTGCACACCTCTGGCATGGCCTTTGGGTCAAGGATTGCTGGTGCCTCCACAGCCACCTGAGCCCAAGTAAACACAGTTATGTAACTGGTCTGTTTATCCTGGCTATCTGATTCCAGTCACCAGGAGCTCCACCCAGCCCCAGGCAGCCAATTCTGGCCTAGGCAACTCCCCCACCAGTACTCCCGGTCCTCTGCCACCAACTCAAAGCGCCATTAGTCAAGTGGCAACCAATTAGTGCTGAGGAGAGTCTACCATTTGGATGAGTCACCCTGACATCTCTGCTGCAGGTTTCTGTCTGTCCTCCAGGTAAGAGAGAAAAGCATCTGCTAGCTCCTTCCCTGGGACAACCTGCAGTCCATTCTTCAGGTAGGCTTTCACAGCCATTTGGATTTGTGCTCCTAGAAGAGTGTCTTCTTTCTACAGACCAGATGGGAGTAACCAAGGACATGCAGACCGCTTTAGAGGGGACCACAGGTAACCCAACCGCAAGGAACAGGAGCCAAGTCACCATGGATATACTAGCCCAGGCAGGGACTCTGTTTCACCCCTGGGGCCATCTCCTGACTCCAGCTCCTGCAGTGCTGCCAAATGAACTCTATCAATGGGCCCACATATGCCAACCACTCATGGGAACAGGGGCGAACAAGGCAGGAAAGTGAAGTGACCCACTTTGGGACTCCAAGGGCCCTCTTACACACTGGCCTATTTGGAAGTTTGTGTTTTTTTTTGTTTTTTTTTTTTTTTTATTCAGTCACGGCAAAGTGAAGGAATTCTGAGTGGGAAAGAAAAAAAAAACAAATGAACAACAACAAAAACCCACAGTGCAGGTCAAGGATGGTGAGTGTCAGGCCTTGCAGTCAGGACAGGTATGTAAAAGCCAAGGGAATCAGAGGCTCAGGATTTCAGGCCTGCCTTGCACAAATATTTTCATAGCACACATATAATAGGCACCGCATGGTTCTCAACATCTAAACCCCAAAGGCTATGGAAAGAAGCAGTCCTTGCCCAGTTTATCCAGCCCGTCCTGCAGGAGGCCTGGACACTGACTGATATAACATCCACCGTGTGTTCCTTTTCATGGGCGAACAAATGCTATGGGCAAGCAGGATGCCTCCGAGAAGGGCCGAGCTAGACAGACTTTCTTCAGTTCTTACAAAGGATGAAAAGAACAAGTTGCCAGCTCTTGAGAAAGCAGACTCTACAGAGGAGGATATAAATGATGACATCAGAGGGAACGCAAGCCAAGTCATCTTGACCAAAGACAAGGGCACAGACCCAGGGGCTGGAAAATTAGGTCTGCCTCAGCCTTCCTTTCCAGCTCAGGTAAACTGAGATAAGGGAGACAGAGGGCTGGTTGGCTGGCCAGAGAGTACCATGAGGTAGAGTGCTGGTCTCCAAACAAAGGCTAACCTGTCTTCCTGCCTGCTAGAGTTCTATGATGAACTGTCTCCACTGTATCAACGTTAAGACTTAATTTACCCCTAAGTGACCAACCCACTGTTGATAAGCAGATTTTTAAGACAATCTTAAGAGTTGTGATCTTTAAAAAGAGAAGGAAGAAGGAAGAAAGAAGGAAAGAAGAAGAGGAGGAGGAGGAGGAAGAGGAAGAGGAGGAGGGGGAGGAGGAGGAAGAGGAGGAGGAAGAGGAGGAGGAGGAGAAGGAGGAGAAAAAAATCATCTTACTACCCATAGCAGACCACAAAGTGGGGATTAGATTCTGATCTAGCAGGGGTCAGTGTGACTCAGTGTGTCATCCTTCTTTCCTAGGCTCTTAAGCAGCTTCCCACGACTCTGCAAATAAGGGCAAACATTACCTCATCTCGCTGGAGCTTTAGCAAAGGGATAAGGCCACTGTTAGCTCAGGAAGTCACTGGGGTAACAACATAAAATATTCACTTGGCTCTTGTGCAGTTAAAAATCTGGGCTCATTTTTCTGGTCTGAAAATTGTACACTGTGGCTGTATTTGATGTCAATGTTGCAATTTGGGTCCAATAGACCTAGATTTAGCCTTTCCACCTCTGTTGTCATAATCCGTCCAAGTCCCTCTCCCGGGCCCCAGGCTTTCCCTATCTCCAGCCCCAAGCTGTGCAGCGATGCTTATCCGCTCTTGCGCATTCACAGCCCCTTGGGATCTATGTTCTCTTCAGAGGACTCCAAGGCTGGTCTGGTCCTTCTAAGCTTGGTATTACAACTCTCCATCAACTTCTTTTTGGCCTCTGACTTTTCCCAGGCTGGAATCCACCCATGTCTATGGTTAATATGCACACTTATTAAATGACTATTGCAAAACATATTTTTTGTGCTTTGTAAAGACTGTTTTCTGGGTTATCATTTTTCTTTTTCAAACTTCAAGGAGGGGCCTCTGGTGGAGAGGTCACAGAAGAATCAGGGACTAGAGCAGAAGTTAGTTGTGGGCATAATTCCAGGATGGGGCAAGAGGCAAGGGAAGGGGATTTATGTGGGGAAAAGCAGAAACTCGGAAGAGGCCATCAGAGCGATAACTGTGGCTGGGGGAGAGGAGGTCATTTCTTGGGAAAGGACTTCATTGGTGTTGTTAGAGACCAGACCAGACATCAGAAACCAGGCTTTCCCTTGCCTCTGGAGTTATTACCTAGGTCAGAGCCAAACTTAGTAAATCCCTCTACTAAGAAATCAAGGAAATAAAGACACAGGGAGTCAA